CATTTATAAAAACCTTACAAATAATCCTATTTTCCCCCCCAGGAAGACAATATAGGTAACAATTTAACACATATAGTAAGAAAACATCATTAATTCATAAAATCACAACGAGGTAAGTCAAACAATTCAATAAGCTGATGGCTATTATGAATAAAGAATTCACAATAAAGATTTTTCCATTTTTCATGTTTGACACAATAGCATGTCCTTTATTCCAACATGTAGTTTCTGTTAAGTTCTGTATTGTCTAAATGTAAGGAAAGTAAACCATTCTGAAATATGATCTGATAGAAAGCCATGTACACATTTTAATCAGTAGTTTATACTAAGAAAATTGCTAGAGTGTTGCTAAATTTAAAGTTTGTAAACCAGATTATTTGAATTATTGTTTCCTAATAAATAGATGGTTAATTATATTTTACTGAGCCATTTTGCCATGACATGATAGAAATTTAGCTGACTATGTATTGTATTGTGTTCTGAGAACACTGTGAGGAATCCAAATTTCACTTTTTTGGCAATGCACTGGTCATTTGGTGCAAAAGAGAGAGTGGGATAAAGTTTTAATGTGAACTGGGAATAAACCCTTTATATCACTTTTCTAGAAATATTAACACTCACCTTTGTCATGTTAATTGCAGTTTATTTTAAAAATGAAATGCTATATATTCCTGGGAACAGATCATAGCATTTCAATGACTGGGATCATCAAAATTAGTCCAACTTATCCTGAGGATAGTAAATCCACAGAGAGGGAAGACATAAGCTAATTTTATACATGAAAACATTTAGTCCCACTTTAAAATGTACAATACCTATAGAGAGTGCTGTACTTAATTTGTAAGGATGTAGACAGCAAAAATATTTACGTTAGGTTATGTACAGAAAGTATGCTTTTCTATTCAGGAAGACCAATTATACTAAGTTAACAGGGAAAACTTAACAGAGGAAACTCTGTTTAGGAGACTTATTCAACTGAGAATTTCTTTTTAGAATATAGTTTAGAAGAGTAATTAGAGAGGTCTCAGGTGTTTTTCACCTGTAGGTCATCTCTATCTGAATTACTGTTCCACGGGTAATGGTGAAATAAATTAATAATGTCAATTCTACTTACTTATTGTAAACAAATGTCAACATAAAAAAAAAAAACTACACTTAATTACTGCGCGATTCCTGGAAGTGAAGTGACTAACGATGAAATGATCATTTACGATCTTACCTTAGATGCAGTGCCTTCGTAAGGGGGCCTAATGTGGATGAGCTGACATGGGTAGATTAAAGCTGGGCACAGGAGATCCATCTGCTTATGTCTGTACTGCTCTCTTTTCATTCTAAATCACTTCCATCACTTACTTTACCAATGCAATAAAAAGCAATCAAAAGAAAGAACCATGTTGAACAGTTACCAGTTGTGCTATAATAACGTAAATCATAGTGGGAGTGTTTTGTGAGCCAACTTCACACTACCACCCCCAACACACTTTTGCGCACGTACACACACACACACACACACACACACACACACACACACACAGAGTATGCAAAATGGAAAAGTATTCCTAGTGGTTTACCATTCTTTTTCTTTCTTTCTTTTTTTTTTTTTTTAATGTTTCCAGCCTTTCTCAAGGTATAGTTCAGACCAGGGAGCCCCTTACACATGCTTACAATTGGGTATTACTCTTTTAAGCAAACACAGACTCCTGTTTCTCACAGCAAATAAGAAAATTATTCCACCTCGAGGGGTTAAACAAAAAAGGACTAATCCACTTTTTGGAAATATTCTGGGCAATTATTCCCCCTCCATATCAAACTTCTCCCTCTCTATCCACTCCTGCACCACTTGTTATCAGTTTTCAAGGAGAATGATAGTACCTAACACATCAAAATGGAGGGAAAACCAGTGTCAAAATACTATAATGCTTACCAGAGTGAAGAAGCTATGCTTGGTGGCTCTGTTTCCAATTAACTGTGATAATCAAGAAATGGAAATTGCAATGAATTCCCCTGGAAAAACTATACTTTATGAAGAAGAAAACTGTAAGGGCTCAGGAGATAAAAATGTTCAGTCTGCATCTTATTTCTACTGGAAGGTGCAGGGATTGGGAGGGAGGGATGGAGAAAGTCACGCAAGAAACAATCAGTGGGGGCATGAGTGGGAATGGGTGGGGGGTTGGAATGGGGGGTTGAGGACAAATATGTGATACCTTAATCAATAAAGAAATTAATTTAAAAAGAAAGAAACCATCAGGTCAAGTATGAAGGACTGGCAAACTTTCTGCCAAGGGAGTTCTGGATGCTTTGCTGCTGCATGTTCCCAGAATGATGATAGAAAAAATGGTATGGACAGATGTATGCTTCCTATGTCCCAAATTGAACTCCTTTATTTCATTGGCTGCATTTTAAACTACAGGAAGAGTGGTAACTGGATGACCTATGAAATGCAATAGAGTTCAGACATCTTAGAGAATCATAAAAAATAGAAATGGAAGTTTTCTCTATTTTATTCCTAAAAGGAAAGGGGTGTTTTGGGTCAGAGAGCAAAATTAATATATTAATCTTTGGCAGTAGAGAAAACTTAACCTCAGATTCCTAGCTGTGTAATTCGTATTCATCACTGACTTATTCCAAACTGGAACTTTGAAAAGGAGCACAAATATCCACCCACTGAACACGTGTGTGTTACCAGATCAATGGCCCTCCATAGCCTTTGTTCCCATGGCAACTTGACTGTAAGAAAGACAACTGGTAAAGATTATACATACCTTAGAGAGAATCTGACATGTATTTTCAACCATGTGAGTTAGACAGAATGCAAAGCAGAGTAATGAGAATTAACGTTTTCATCCATTACTTATTTTAACATTTCATATGTGTATTTTTTATGTTCAATGTAGGCAAGAATTGCTGACATTATTACTGTGAGGTGAAATATGTAGAAATAACTCAGGAAAAGGCATTATATATAAAAAACAAACAAAAACATGGATGGAGATGGAAAACACAAGATAAAACATTGTCCTCTTATAAGAGAAAAGAAGGTTTAAATGAATCATAACCTAAACAAAAATTAATATACATAGAATCCTCTATTTGGGTACATGAGAAAAGTATTTGATATTAAAATTAAGTATCCTTATTTTATGGTTCTCTTGAGTATAATTTTTCCTTAAAAATAAAATTTCAACTATTCCTGGAATTTAAAAAATTTGAAATAACTATTTTTAATCGGGGTTCCAAAAGAGAAAAGCAAGTAATGAAGAGTTGATTGTAATAACCTGAAAAAAACACACAAACATTATTTTTTAACCAAATAGGCTAGAAATAAGGGGTCCCATATAGCTAATTATAGTCCAATATTACCCCTGAAATAAGGGCCAACTAAAATAAGGTTCATGATTCTTTGTGATAATAAGAAACAACACCTTCTTAGAAGGCAAATAAAAGAAATTCAAGATCAGAAACAATGAAGAAAAGACTCAACCAAACATTTGAAAATTCTAGATTGAGCTTAACCACAGGACTGCCGGTGCTCACACAGTTACCACAAACAGTGAAAGTTAAGATTATTCAGTAAATTTATGTGCCAGTACAGAGTGTCATCTTGAAGCTGCCTTGGCTTGAGTCAAACAGACCTTTCAGTTCGAATTCTTCACGAAAGTCCTTGAAAACCGGAAGCTGCTCTCTGGTGCGCAGTCCTCGGTTTCTGCACACGATGCAACGGCGACTCCTTCGATTAGAACTTAAATCCGAACATACATTTAACCTGGCCTCTCTCTTTCCCTTCAACAGTTCTGCCCAGCACCCCTGTGTCATGCACAGGCAAGCTCTTTATTATCATAAGGAATAGAGATCACTACAAATTTTAAGAGAAATAATAACCTGGCTCAGGAATTAGCAAACACACCGCCAAATTCTCATGTTAGAGACCATGAGCCTACAGAAAGAAGGTGTCCTCTTACTGGAAATTAAACAATGCTTTTCAAAGTCTCTGGAGTTTGAAAACATAGTGAATGTTTGTCAATGGTTATTTATATCACAATTCTAACAGAAAAGATTACCAACTTAGCTCTTAGAGTCTACAATTAAAGTTGTCACACTTTTCTATTATGATTTTGGTGTCTGTACTTAGGATGGCACACACAAAAGAAATCCCCAAAGATCTGGAAAGTGCCATGGGGCAAGGGGCTTTCATGAGAAAAGTGGTTAAAATTGTTTTTTCTAGCATTTACTCTTTTTTTTTTTTTTTTTTTTTCTGAACAGTGACACATGTAGATGTAGCCTGCTGAAGTCAATGGCCAAACGAAATGCAGTTGCTCTAAATAATTTCAGTATCTGAGGCCTGGGCAGAAAGCGGGAGCTCTGCAGCCATGGACAGTGCCCAGCAGGTCCTCTTGCTGCTGGAAGCCGCACCCGGGCAGGCAGGCAGCGCCCAGGGCCCTGGGTGTGGGAAAACCTGGCTCCTCCTTGTGCTGAAAACCTCAGCCATCTGAATGCCTCTCCTCTGCAACGTCCATGTGGGAAATGTTCGCAAAAGGTCAGAATGAAAATCAGATACCATTTCACATTAGTTTGTTACTTAAAATTTAGCTCTAGTATTCCTGGTGAGAAGTGACAGATTCAAGCAAATGGTTTTTCTGATCTCTCTGGTTTTTATCCTGGTATAAAGAGAAAATATGTTGCTAAAAACATGACAAGCCCCGTCACGTTATTGCTGTGTCCTAAGCAATTGGTACCAATTAAGGGTTTTCCGTGTAATCTGAGACAAACAAATCAAGAATTTCATCTAAAGCAGTTATCGCAGAAATACACTGTTAGGGCCCAGGTAAGCTTTTGTTGACGTATTTTTTTTTTTAAACAAATGGTACAAAAATATTTTCACTAACGGTAACTGAGAAATTGCTTGATTTGACATAAAGATGAAGACAGTTTCTTCTTCTTTCTTTTTTTTTTTTTGAAACAGTACACTTTGTGATTCACAGGGTAACTTGCATCAGACGCAATTTAATGAAAGCTCTCAAATAAGCGATTTTATTCCTATCCATGATTGCAGACATTTACAAAACCATAACATCTGAGTTCACCTTAAAAAATAACTTATGTAAAGCAGTGATATACACAGCACAAAATAGCTCAGGGAGGGGCAGGAGCAACTTTTAATAATTAAAATGTAAACGTGAAAGGAAAAAAAAAAAGGATGGAATAAAAGTCCCTACTCATTTCTACGTAAGATGTCATTGTGATAGTATTTTACAATGTCCTGTGGGCCAATGTATGCATGTGTATATGTCCATATAACATACACATATACAATACATCCTCTTTCCCACACATATACATACACAGATAATGATTTGCAGTTCGTTTCAGGGCAACGCTCATATGCCGCTCTGTACAGTTGTTTAAATCACGTTTGGACCCGCTTTCTTCACAAAATAGGGGAGAGAGCAGGAAAGAAAAAGGTTGGTTTGGTGTGACTGAGATTCCTTTGTTTAACTGTACACTGTGATGAATAATGTTCTTCCCTAGTAGTTCTGTGAAGGGCTGACTCACTGTGGTTTTCATGAGGAGACTTGGTAATGGATCACACACTCATTGTCATGCTAGGGGAATACTAGAAAGAGAGAAGAATCCATGTTTTAACAACAATTCTCTTACAGACCGCTAATGTTCTTTGTGGTAAACAACAGTAACTATGAATTTTCATGTCTTATAATCTTTTATGCTCAAGCGTTTAACCTCATACAACATAAAAATAAGAAACTATAAAAAGAATAATGCATCTAGAGTTGACTTAGTCCTGACATTTTTAACATTTCCTCTGCAAAGTAACCATTCACATTCTCTCCCTGGACTCAGGTGGATGATAATTACCCAGTTCCTCAGCTTTTTCCTTCCAGGAGATTCATGGGCATTTGTTAGAATTTGGGTAAATCCAGTCAAAGGCTGTATCATAATTAAATAAGGTGGAGGGACAGTCTTGTATTTACTAGCCATGCAAACTTGGGAGGTTACCTAAGTTTTCTGCACTTCAGTTTCCTCACCTCTACAGTGGGTTTAATGATACCATCCACTTTAAGGGGGTTTTGGGAAGATTAAATATATAACCCTTAAAAAACCAAGTACTGATTGACTACACCGCAAAGACTCAGTAAATATTTGATTAACAGTGTAACTCCAGGTGGCCCTAAGAAGTTATCATTAAAGCACTTAGGATATTAAAGTCTAGCTATACCTAGCACATAAGTATCTTCCCTAATCTAATCTCAACCCACAGTCTTTTCTGGGTGGGGGTAGGGGATTGTTGCCTCATGTTTCTTGTCGGTTGGATTCGGTGAGGGTTTCAGAAATTTGCAAGTTGTCTCAAAAATGACTGAGAGAGGAATCGAGAGGAGTTATTTGGATGATTATGCCAATCTACCCTCCTGTTCTTGAGGGGCAGACTGTGATAGGAAAGTTCTAGAGCAGCACCTTCCAACAGAACTTCCTTTAATGATGGACATGTTTTAAGACTGCGCTGCCCAACATAGAGGCCACTAGCTACCTGTGGCTACTGAGCACATGATACATTGGCAATGCTACCGAGGAAGTAACATTGTAATGTTACTTAATTTACTTAAGTTTAAATATCCCCAAATAGCCCGTGGCCCACATCTTGGTCAGCATAGTTCCATAGCCTCTGACATAAGGGCAGAGCCTCCACTCCCAAGAGCATTTTTAGATTAAAATACACACGTGTGCCCTGAAATACTACATGTGTTTTAGTAGAAACCTAAGAGGCCAAGGGCGAAGGGGAGTTCCTTTTCACGTGTTAGTAATGATTGTGCCTGTGGACAGAGGCAGGGCAAGTCAAGGGGGTTGGTCCCAGGTCCCAGGTCCCAGGGACTTAACCTGGACCAGTGATGACCCTGGAAAAGGGAGTGCACACTTTACAAAAGGGAGCAGATGGGAAGGCATGACGTGAATTCCACATGAGCTGAGGTACTGAGGAACCGAAAACAAGGTGAAAGGCGTATCCTTAGAAAAGGATGGACTTACTAATGTAGAAAAAATGAGGTTCCCAAGGAAGAACAGAAGGTGACAACAGCCCAGTTGGCAGAAGTCTGGACAGAAAGTCATTAGGCGTAAATCCAGGGCTCCAATAAAATACACTCATTGATCTTGAGTAAAGGTGGATGACCAGGCCTGAAAACAGGTCACCAGACTATAGGGGAAGACTGCGTTCATCTTTTAAACACAGGCCAAATTAAGAAAAACCTGCTGGTTAGTCACTTAACAGCCTCAAATTTCTTTTCAGGGTAAGGAAGCTAAATTATATGTTGCTGACTCTGTATGTTGTATTACAGGGAATAGGGTGATTAAAAAAAAAAAAAAAGATTGCCAGGGAAGAGAAAGGGGATTCAGTTGGATAGAAAACTTCTCCCTGTTACCCTTGATAATGGCAGCAAAAAAAGCAAAGCAAAGCAAAGCAAAACCCAAAACCAACAAGGATCAGGAACAAGGACTGGTGAAATGGAGCTCACTCCGGACCCGGTGCCGGAAGGGGCTGTGCTCCCATCTCATCAGAAGGCACCATGCAAATCCCCCATCGCAAACAATGGCTGCAAGCTTCAATGAGCTAGGCACAGCTTTTGATGAGACGGAATTATATTTTGGTATTTGACTTTCAGGTGTAAGAATAAACAGGAAAATAAATGGATAGAAAGGTTTTATTAAAAGTAGAAAAACTTAGAGAATATGGCAAAAAAAAAAATGGGCACAGAAAAATGTAATCTATGCTTTCTACAGCTACTGTCATTTACAGTAAGATCCCATCAGCGCTGTCCAATAAGACTTTCTGCGATTGATGGCGAGTGTTTTCTGCGCTGTCCCATGCAGCCACCACTAGCCACACATGGCAACTGACTCTTACAATGTAGCTAGTGCGATTTTAGTTGTATTTTATTATAATTAATTTAAATTTAAATAACACAGCCAAATTACTTCAAGGCAAATATTTTATTGGGCATATTGTGCCAATAATCTAAAAGCAGTAAAAGATACTAAAGCATTTCAAAAACAAAACAAAAAAACAAAACAAAAAAGACTTCAAAGGAGATGTCTGAAAAAAATAAAAAACTTCTAATGAACTCCAGAGCCCATCTCATTTAACGCACACCCTGGGTCATAGGGATTTTAGAAATTCTTCAATCCTTTTTCATAGGATTATTGCAGCCAATTCTCATGTCACACATGTCATGTCATGTTAGGGAATGCAGTTATAGATATACTATAGCCTTCTTTCTAATATACACTGTCAAAAGTATAGGTGCAGGTAAATAAGTATATATACACATTCTCTTTATGTCAAGCATGTTTGTTAGTTGCTACCATCTTTTCATAGTGGCAATTGTTAAAGATTTTGGTCCTGTGATATTTCAAACATTTCACAGAAAAATGAAAACCTGTTACAGATTCCCTGGGAAGTTAGGAAAGCAAGGCTTGTCTGGGGAGAAAACTAAGTGAAAAAATAGGGGGGAAAAAAAAAAAGGAGAAAGTAAGGGTCAGTCAGAAAGGAAGAAAGCTCCAAGCAAGCAACTCAGAAAAATCAGCGAGTGTCTGCGGATGGTGTCTGCATGGTCTGAGTAGCTGTGAAGTGATGCTGTGTGTGTGCCTGGTGCAGGGAAATAGATTGCACGGGTGTCTGAGTGTCTACAGAGGGGTGTATTGTTTGCACGGCTAAGGCTACCACCTGCTCGTCTGCTGCTGCTTTACTGGAAATGCTTCAACTAAGTAGAACGAAGGAACATTGCAAAATTTCTAGAACAACTCACAGAAGGTGCATGGAAAAGGGCATTCTGCTACTGGTTACTGTTCTTCAGAGGAGAAGTGGCTCAGAGTTTTCCAGAAGTGAAGGAAGAGTTGGTGCTAAATGGGGTATCAGATTTAGACATTAAATATTCATGGTGTACTCTCCTCGGCCACACTGCATTGTGTGCCTCGTGTGGTCACCTCAGTATGTGAAGACACACTGTCATGTGAGCGGCAGAGACCTGGGATCTCGGGTTGTCCTGTTTCAAAACTGTTCTGAGTCTGGTTCTCCTCCCGTAGGTGATGAAATGGCTCTGATAGAGCTGCTGACAGCACTAGTGTTTGGTTTGGCACCAAGAGAGTGAAACCTCAAGGTATAATTTTCAGCACATGCCAGCTTGTTTTCCCTTTTTATGTAAAATATATTTTGAAATGAACATGCCTTGGTATGTACTAGAGAATCTATGGTTTCCCCTTTAGTGCACCCCTCTCATGCGCATGGAATGTGCATGATGTCCATTAAATCCCAAACAATGGAAGTTCCTGTTTAATCACGTCAAGAACACCTCAGATCTCACTAAATTTCTATTTCTACATACATAAATTACATTTTCTTTTCTTAATGAGAGATAAGTATGCTGCAGCTACTCTGAGCAAAACTAAAGTGAGATACATTCAGTGTGTGTGACTATGTAAAACACATTGGCTATGTGTGATTTCTTTGAAAGAACAGAAAATGACAAAGGCGGTAAGGGCGTGAGAGATGATCTCGCAGTTTGCTTCTGATTGTTAATTGATACCATGGTTTTAATATCATGTTTGCTCAGTTGATTATAGTTTAATGCCATGGAGGAAATATTCTGCTAAGTTAATTCAAGAAATAAGGTTAAGTGTCTTTTTTTACTTGAGAAGCATGAAGCATTTATTTTCTTTGAACTAAGACTTTTTGTATTCTGTATTTTCAATATCAAACATTTCATCGAATTTACACTAGGGGGCATCTTTGTTTCTTGGAATAGAGACTCTGTTTAGGATCTAAAGAACAGTGACATTCCCAGTCCACATGTTTGTGTGTAAAGCACGTTGGCATTGCAAGGTTTCTGCCTTCGGGTGGGGAATCTTTGTTTCTAGAGGAATTAAATGAAGAAGCACATGTGAAGTGACCAGGATAGTGTGTGTACATGATAAACACTCAATAGATGTCTGCTTCCTTCCCAGGCCTCTTTCTGTCCTTTAACTTCAAGATAAAGACCAACAAATCTTCAAAAGTCAGACTGCTCAGCAATATGTGCTTTTCAGACTTATGGGCATTAAAAAAAAAAACACACGAGCTTTTAATGTTTATTCATTGGAAAATTTTCTTTCGAAAGTTCGTTTCTTTTTCTTTTGAAAGTATGTTTGTTAAAGCTGGGGACAGTGAAACAGGGAAGGTCTTAGGATAGAAGCAGCAACGGGGGAGAGCCCAGGCGGGCTGCTGCCAGCTCACTGGGGAGTCGCAGAAAGGGGCCTTGTAGACGTTAATCTCATTGGAGAACACCTGGTCTACTTCTTCCTAAGGCCTTCCACATGTCAGCAAGGAATCTCTTTTGTCTTCTTTCCTCTCTGCTCTCATTTCTTCATCTTTTTTTTTTTTTTTTTTAAGTCTAAATGTGTGGTGACGTGATAGAGAAAACAGCAGAAAACAGTGACATCATCCTTAAGGCAGAGCCCTCCCCAGGTGAGCAGGAGAATGGAGCCCCAGGGGGACCTGCTACCTGCTGGTGGGGGTGCCCTTTAGTCACGTCAAGAACACCTCAGATCTCACTGAATTTCTATTTCTACATACATAAATTACATTTTCTTTTCTTAATGAGAGATAAGTATACTGCAGCTACTCTGAGCAAAACTAAAGTGAGATACATTCAGTGTGTGTGACTGTAAAACACATTGGCTATGTGTGATTTCTTTGCAAGAACAGAAAATGACAAAGGCAAAATCTCCATCCAGTTATTTTGCCTTTGGGGACCACCATCCAATTATTTTGCCTTTGGGGACTTTTCTGGTGGGGCTGGGAGAGAGGGAGGGAGGAGAAAAGGTGAGGCCTGTTTTCCCTAACCCTGCAGAGCGTTCTACCTTCCTCTACGCCTCCAGGGCAGGAGTCAGGGTGGGCGAGGCCCTGCTCCAGCTGCTCTCTTTTCTGTGCACAGATTCACAAAAGGACCTGCTGTTTTACGTGAACATACTCCTGTTGGGGCTAAAGGGTGAGGCTGGTGTGTATTCTGCACAAAGACACTTTTAAAGTCCTGTTATAGCCGAAAGCAGTTTGGCTCACTAGAGCATTGGCCTGTGGACTGAAAGGTCCCAGGTTTGATTCTGGTCAAGGGCATGTACCTTGGTTGCGGGCACATCCCCAGTGGGGGGGTGTACAAGAGGCAGCTGATCGATGATTCTCTCTCATCAGTGTTTCTAACTCTCTATTCCTCTCTGTAAAAAAATCAATAAAATGTATTTTAAAGTCCTGTTATATCTGATTCTTTGATAGCCATAGGGAGAATCTGGTGCCAACTCTTAGGTGGCACCCCCTTCCCTGTGAACAAGGCAGCAGTCAGGAATGACCGATCTGGGAGGAAGGAGAGGGGTCAGTGCCTCTGGAGTTCAGGTCATGTGGAAACTTTCAAAGAAGTTTTCTTATCCAATCTAAAATAAATAATTTCCTATATGCTTTTAAAACACCTGGCTTATATCTATGATAGTACTTATTACTCTGACATATGGTTTAATTAGTTTTGTAAGTATGTTCTCCCCATCTGATTATATTTTTTGAGGTTAGGGATGTGTTATATTTATCTCAGAATACTTTGTCCTTCACCTAGTGCTTTGCATAAAGCAGCTCAATAAATGTTGAATTGAACTGAAGTAATTATCATATACCTCACTAATTTACAGCATTTTGTTGCTAGAAGAATTAGCATAAAAATAAATGCATCTAATTAGATCAAGTAACTATTAACTAATTATTTAAAATTAATTAATTGGTCCATAGTCTTGCAACAAACTAATGAAAGAACCAGGGTCTAAGAAATAATTTCCATAACCCTAAGCATTATGATAAACTATATAGTCTCTCATGTATTTCCTATTTCCTCATCATGAATGGGCTATTCTTGATTTTTTAATATGAATTTTTATGTATGCCTTCTTTATCCTTACTAACATACATATACACAGAGTGGGGCAAAAGCAAGTTTATAGTTGTTTGTATGGAAAATAATACAATAATTAGTAAATAATAATAATGCTACACAAATAAGCTCCTTTTGCCTACTCACAACTGTAAATCTGCTTTTTCTCACACCTTTGTTTATATATCCTGGAAATAAAACACACAAACCAAAGATCAGCATAACTGCATTTCTAGTTTTAACAGAAGTCAAGTAAAAAATGAGGGCCAGTCTTATCCCATGCTGAGGCGCTAGGTCAAGAAGTCAAACCCAGTTTTGGGTTCCATTTGGAAAGCACTGTTCTGTGCAAAAGTGGGGAAGTTACTAGCCACCGCTTCCAACTCTGAGGGGGTCTCTTATATTATAGAAAAGGCTGAATTAGGCTAAAATGAGGGTAGGTTTTCCTTCGGAATCTGTCTGCAGTTTGGTAGATGCTCCGTAATCAGTTTTAGAGATGGTGATCATGTGGGGGGGCACTAGCCCTATGACTGGAATTCATCTAAAACCCTTTCCTCTGTGTTCCAGTCCCGTAGTTCTGAGCAGAGAATGTGCAGCAGCAGCAGCAGCAGCAGCAGCACCTACAAAGCTTCTGCGCTTTCATGTTTGCCCAGCCCTGCTCCTGGAAATTCTGATTCACTAGGTCTAGGGAGGGTTCTGGCAAATTCTATTTTAATGTGAAACATTAGTTTAAAAGTCTTTGTATTGTATAATGACACCTTGAAAAAAAGACACCACTTTGTCTTTTTGGTCTCACCAGTGCCTAGCCCAGCCCATTGCCCATGCCCAGTAACTGTTTATTAAACGAACAAGTGAATTCTATTGCTTCTCTTTTTGTTCTTATCTACCTCTATGGAGGATGAATGATATTGCCTTTGCTTAACACTATATTCACACTCAATAAAGAAACTGGGTAGCCAGTTTAGATTAAACGTAAAAAACAGGTTACCAATGTGAAACCAGGGAGTGAGGTCAGGTGGAATACAAATATCTAGATAATTTTTAGAGCCTTAAGGACAGACAGCACTAATCAGAAACCTGGGTTTGCAGCGATCCAAGACATTTTAGTAATGGGAGAATTTACAAAAACTTTCAAATATGCAACCTGATTCCAGTGTGTTCCTGATGGTGGATGTTCTCTATGAGAAAGTTAGCATTATAATTTTTTTTGGTAATTATGTACATGGGAATAAAAAAGAAAAAGTTTATTTTTAATTTTTTTTTCAAAGAAATTTCACTTCATATTCTGACTTTTAAAAGATCAACCTATTGAACTCTAAACAGTTGTAATAATGGTTGTATGCATTACTTCTAATAGAAGAGCTTCAGAAATAAAGTCTGGATATAATAATGTAGTCAAGGAAATACTTACACTCTCACTCTGAAAAGGATTTAAGAAATTTCCCCCCATTTCGCTATCATCCCTTGGAGTGCCCGGTTGATTACTCAGGCTCATATTATTGGGAGAGTTCTGTAAACAAGATTTAGAAAACAAGGCATTGTTGAAGATTTTAATTTCCCTCTTGCATTGTACTGTTTCAAAATTGGAATCTATAGCAGCATCTCTACGGACAAAGCCAACCTATGATTCTAATCTTAGAGCATGTTTTCTGGTTCATTCTTTGAACCTTGACAAGTACTAATGCTTTCCCAAATGAAAATTAAAAAACACACAGAACACCCGAAATAACCCACCACAACTCTTTTGCTTAGTCTCAGAATCAATATTTATTCAATTTCCCACCCTCAGCTTGCAGAGTTCCTAGAACTCTGGAGAGTTTAAAACACATTTCCAGCAGGGGCACGGTGAAGAGCCAACCTACTGATCAGGCATGACGGAATGACACCTTCTCCTGGTAATTTTATTAGTCAAATGTCAAAAGATCATCGTTTTCATAAACGTTTCCCTTTCATTCCACATACGGTTTGCACAGTAACACTATTTTAACCATTATTTTTATAGGAACCATAAGGAAAAGAAAAGAAGAGAGTTAACAACTATGGTTAAGAACAAGAGAAATACCTTAGGACCTGAGAATTCAATATGTACTTTTAGAGGAAAAGAAGGCTCCGAGAGGAACCTGCTTCAGAACCTTTTTTTCTACCATTAGTTTAAGAGATGATTTACTTTGAAACTTTCCTTTAAGATAAAGTGGCTGATATTAGCAGTCTAATCAAACACTAAGCAGTACATCACTTCAGGTTCTATTTAAATTTGCTAGTCCAGTTATTTTCGTACAATTTTAGCCCTGTGAGGTCATCTGCTACTCCACCTCTAGAGGAAATATGAACTGAATGGCAGTGGTGTACAAAGCACACTCACATCGTTCTGTGACTATGACTGTGACCGAGGGACTTAAGGTCCAATTTATAGACTTGTAAAAAGAAACTTCAAAGTTAAAATTTTTTATCTGTTATTTCAAGTGAGAGAAAGATTTAATATTTTCTCCCCTAAGCCATTGATATTGTACACTCTGTTTTTGGCTGTTTTAAAGAAAATTGCACTAGGGATTTGACTTAGCTCAAGACAAGTTATGTCAAAAAATTTAAAACTGTATGAGTAAGAATATGTGCTTTTTAAAAAATGAGGCTAAGCTGCAGAGCAGGCACAGGTACAGGAACTGGTGCTGTCCTGCTGGCATGTGGTCCTGCTGTGCACCCCGCAGGGAGCACCTGACAACCAGGAGCCTTCGTGTCCACAGGAGCTCCATTTGCCAATGGACCACACCTGCTGGGGAACCATGTTTAATAGCAGAATGAGGAGAACTCTCTCTCTGTTTTCTTTTTTTAAAACAAATTCTTCTTTAAAAATGTTAGTTTTCCAAATATATTGAAAAGCATATCTATATTGAAATGAACATGAATAACTTGATTTCCAAAAAACCCACAAAAAAATGTGAGTAAAATTTAAGTAAGTGCAACTAACAAAGCTATACTTATTCATGATTAAAGTTACTAACTAATCATGAAGTGGGAATGATAATGCTTACTTAGGTGAAAAATAAAAGTAAGTTTATACAAATATTTAAAGATTTACCCCAATATAGGTCTTTTTGGTGAAGGCAGATTTCTGCCATTTCCTATATATAGAGAAATGGATAATCTTAGAATAAAAAAAGAATCTAGCATCTATCTAAGGGTATATGAGGATGCACCTGGGAGCTGAAGACTTCTTCTTATTCAAACAAATCTATGCAATATGCCCTCTCCATTTCAGTGAATAGTCACATCCCCAGTAGTTCCTGAGGTGCTACCGAGGAGCAGCATATCTGATTGAGTCATGGCGTTCTCAGACTCGGCTGCACTTTTGCCACATCTCATTTTTTGATTTACAATTTTATCTAACTTAAAATCTGATTCCTGACTCAAAGTGTTGATTTTAAAATATTTGAAATTTGAAAGTAATATTGCACTCCTATTTAAATATCTAGAAAATATTTAGAAGAATATTTAGAAGAAATGTTTTTAAAACACTCCCAGTGTTATTATTTTCGTTCTTGGCTGTTTGCACACTTTTGTGTGTGTGGGGTTATATAAGAACACCAAGAGGAAGATTAAAAGGACACATTCAACACACAAAACTGAACTAATATCAGATCTCTGAAACCTACTCCTTTCTAGTGCGCTGGGCATGTTTGAAAATCTTGAAATCTTTTTTAAAAACCTGAAGTAATCTCTACAAAATGCTGCAAAAAACAACAAGAGTTTCTGATCGGGGGTCTTAAGGAGATTGTGCTGTCCACAGTCACTGAGCCACTCAATACAGGCACCTGAGGAACAGCCACGACGGTTCCAAACACCAGCTGGAGCAGGTCATGAGGGCGGGTGGCAATGAGCTGGGTGTATATTTCAGTTAACCATAGGTATGTTTGTGTGCAGTGCGCAGTAGATTTTATCATAAAGGCAAGGATATAATGCACAAAAAGGGCTTAGGTGGGTCAAAAAGGCACTCCAGTTGCTTAAGCATATAATTAGGGAGTACAGAGCACAAAAGAATACAAGTAACATTTACTTTCAGCAACCTTAGGCCTTTGAGGTTGCCTTTGCTACTTCAGTTAATGTGTACTTCATTCCTTACTTATACTCTAAGAATTTAACTTGAAAAACTATAGTTAAAATTATATTAATGCCATTTTCAAAGGATTTTATTTCATTCTCACTCACCTCACCCTTTTTTTCAAACTGGAATGCTTCCCCTACTTAGGCTATGACATCATAAACAAATGCTATTGTAAAGTATACATGTGCCTGTGTGTGGGCTCGCACACACCCAGTTTCTTCTGGCTAACACATTTAATTCATTTAGCTCTCTCTTCTGTGATTTTTACCTTGCAAGTATTCTTCCATATCATCTCTTAGTGAGTTAGTTACTGTTCCTTCTCCCACCTATCCCCAGAAATTGCTCCAAAACTTTCAAACTGCTATTTAAAAGGGGAACACTTATAGAAATGTGGGCTCTGTCTATAATTGGAAGAAAATGATTTTGACAGTATTCTAAGCCCTTGGGAAGTGAATTTTGAATTGATTTCTCACAGGCAATAGCAAGGTTTATAGAGTGTCATTTTGACTCTGCCATTTGCCCAAAAGAACAAACTGCCAGTCCTGGTTCCCGCAGGGGGTTAAGTGAGCGAGAACTCAGGCTCGCAGCTGAGATGATGGCAGAGATCTGCAGTTGTTAATGGGCAACCCTGCAAATGGTGTGGGATATTGAACTGGAAGTAAGGTTCATGAGGCTAGAAAGCTTCAGGTTGGAAAGATTCCTTTGATAATTTATGCACATGCATATTTAAAATAGCATTTGTATATGATGTCAATGCCTAAGTAGGGGAAGCATTCCAGTTTGAAAAAAGGGTGAGGTGAGTGAGAATGAAATAAAATGCACGACATGATCAGATTGTGCCTTCTGATTTTTTTCAAACTAAAAAAATCTAAATGTTAAGTATCTTAATGTGAACTGCAGAATTTATTTAGGTGAATTCCTTCTGAGGAAACAACCATATATGCGCCTCTCTAACCCCAACTCCTAAAACAACTCCAAGGCATAATAGTTTGGTTCCACTGATTAAATGAATGACTCCTCAGTTGCAAAAGGGGTGACAAGAATTTTACTTTTCATTAAAAAGGCTTTGAGCCCCGGCTGGTTTGGCTCAGTGGATAGAGCCTCTGCCTGTGGACTGAAACGCCCTGGGTTTGATTCTGGTCAAGGGCACATGACCAGGTTGCCAGCTCAATCTCCAGTAGGGGCGTGCAAGAGACAGCCAATCAATGATTCTCATTGATGCTATATCTCTCTCCTTTTATCCTCCCTCTCTAAAATCAATAAAAAAATATTTTTAAAAAAGGCTTCTAAATTAAAGGTGAATTCTGCATTATGAAAAAGATGCATTTAAGTTTTCCTAGGTAATCCTCAACTGAGCAAGAGTCATGTTAAAACTCTTTGGAGCCCTGAGTTCATTTCGCCAGTGGAATAATGCTGTCAAAGGGGAGTTGACAGTGTGGGTTCCTAGCCTTGTTCACAAAAGGTAGCATAATGAAAAGAAAAACATTTAGTATCTGTACAGTGTTTCATAGCCCTTAGCATATTTTTCTCAACATTTTATGAATTAGGTAAGAAATGAACTATAAGCTCCATCTCTTATTTTAGAGCGAAGAAAGATAAGCCTAAGAGAAATCAAATAACATGTTGCCACCAAAACTTATAAGTAGTAGAACTAGGCTTTCTGATTCTCAATTCAGTAACCTCCACCTTATATATAAAACTCATAAAAAAGAATATATTTACAATTTAAAAATAGAAAAAGAATTGAAATGGTACTAAAAGACAACACTTAAAAATGGAATAAGACATTTAAAAAATATATATAATAGTGATGTTTGATAAAATACAGGTTTAATTGGGGAACTGGGGAGATGTAGCTGGAGACCTAAGAGGGCTTTTGAACCAAACTGCTAAGCAGTACTGGTCAAGATTATCTTCTGATTCACAAGCAAATCCTTGTGAAATCTAGGAAAAAGAACAGGATGGGAGGGATCAAACCCAGGAAAAATGAAGAAAAGAGTTTTGTGTGGCAGTTGGACAGTGTTGGAGAGGAAGAAGGTGGGGAACTGAGTTGGTGACAATGTGCATAGCTTCGAGTAAAAGACTAATAACTGGGCAGCGAATGGAAAGAGGTGGGGAGAGAAATAATTGGAGTAGCCGGTGTAATACCCATGATGCTGCTGACTAGAGAAAAGTTTACTGGAGACATGCAGACTCTGATGGCGCCACCACCCTGACAGCCTTGGGCGGGTTGGTGCAGGAAGGAGTGGCTTAGGAGCTCATCTGAAGGTGGATGCAACTCCTCATTTCTAGTGCATTGCTAAGTGGCTCACAGATTACTTGGAGATGGTGATTATGCTAATTGAAATGTATTTGAATTCTGATTTGAAAAAGTTTTTCCTTATTGTTTTTGTTTGGTCTCCTTAGTTATATTGAGTTTAAGGCAGAGACCTTACCTCTTTTATCTTTGAATTTTGAGAGCCTAGAAGAACGCCTTGGCAGCGCTGATGTTTACTGACTGAAGGAACTGCTGCCTAAGTATAAACCACTTGAGGACAAAGATTATGTTTGTACTTAAAGAAGTCTATCGTATCTCCCCACCGTGCACAAGGCAGTACCCAGTACACAAAAGTATATAATGGGTGGTTCAAGAATAAGCAATACCTCATTAGACAAGAGAATGCTGTCAGCAGCATTTTTCCCCCCCAAAAAAATTGTCTCTGGGAATGGGAATGGGAAAATAAGCATAGAAGGCACAGCAACAGACCTGATATGGGGCAGATTAGAAGATGGTATTTAATTTGTCCTTATGGCACTATTTAAACATTTCAAAATACTTAAAAAATTACCAAGTACTCTCCAATATAGAATTATTGACAACTACCTAGTGGACAAAGTTATGGGTTGTAGTGGAAGTTTTAGAAGATGGCCTTAAGTAGTTCGGGTGATCCCACTTTTGTGAAATGAAGAATCCTTGTTAGATACGAGGGCATGCTACTGAAATCTAACATTAGAAATTTCCCTGGTGACCACAAGGCCCCATCCGGCTAGTGTCAGTGGTTAGGCACCGAAGGGAGCTGATGTGGTCACAGACATGGAACTGGTGGAGGAGCTGCCCAGAGAAAAGGCCCTGCTGGAGTTTCACGGGGACTCTGACGTTGAAAACGGGCTTTTTGAAGGCTTACCTAATACTATTTCTCACAGAAGTAAGCTATTGACGTTATAAACATTTAACTGTTTTTAGAAAAGAAAAAAGGCTTTTCTGATCGATCTTAGACACGGAGATCCAAAGTGTACATAGGACATTTAAGCCAGATGTGTAGATGCAATGTTAGAATGCTAGTTAAACTATCTCTCATTCCATTTTTCTTTTTAGCTTGAATTATTTAAAAGGTTTTGCAGCTTAATCTTATTTTCTTTTCCTTGGCATTGGGAATTTCACAAGAAAATAAATTAGAAGCAGAAGTAAAAATTTAAAGTCATCCTTTAATGAATTTCTGTATTCATATAAAGGAGACTTCTAAGAGTCATTCTAGTGGTAGTTAAGAATTAGTTCTTATCAGCCATTCTAAATATATTTTTGATCCACAGAGAACTATTTTAAATTCATCATGACCTAAAAAGTATTTAGGTACTCTTCTTCTTCTTCTTCTTCAAAAAAAAAAAAAAAAAAATAAGGCATCTTAGCAAAGGATTAATTTTAGATACTCAGATTCTTGAAGAAAAATGCAGACACATGCTCTTTGAAGGCTCACTTTCCTACTTGTATTACTATAATTTTCCTCTAATTATTTTCATACTCTATTTTGGGGAACTAGAATAATGATTGGGGACATCAGCATTTCCTAAGGAAGGTTTGAAAGACAAATGAGATGTATAAACGCAATGGCCTTATAACATATAACAATCACTTTTTCAAATTTACCTCTTCTCATTTTTCTATAGACTTCTTTACATTTTTTAAAAATTATCTAAATTATGTCAGTTTGCTTTACAAATATATAATAACATAACATGATTAAATTGGCTATTACTTGGGTATCCATTTATCAGGGATAATGCATATTGTAAATGAACCTTAGCATGGTTAGGAACATTCATGAAAGATTCACATTTACCCTTTCCCACAGATTATATACATTGATATTTTAAACTAACAGTTAATTATACCTCACCTCTACTTTCAAATTCTTCTTTAAGAACAAAATTCATAAGGTGACTCTAATAATCTTAATGAGAATTCTGTGTGAAATAAAACACAGACGAAAAACAATACAGAATACAGAGTACCCACCTTGGAAATACTGTCCATATCTCCCGAGCCTGAAACAAAGTAAAAATAAAATAAAATAAAAAAGTCTTTATGAGGTACTGATTTCATTTATAAATCAAGTACTTCTTTAATATGCAAGTTTTTGTTGTATTTCCCAGTGTACATCTCCTGAATTTTTAATCTTAAAAAATTCCTTTTTTTACACTGAGTGGTATCAGTATTATTTGATGGTAAATACACGGAAGAGTTGCACCTCTAGTTCCTAATCATTTAGGAGTTTTTCTGTCCGTAATGACAGAATTAAGGAAACTATTGTTATTATAAATACCTGTTAGTAAAATAATGAAGAGCTTTATATATACTACCAAATTCAAATTTTTATTATATATATATGTGTGTGTGTGTGTGTATGCATTTAAATAGAGAGTAAGAGAGAAATCTCTATTTAGTGACATTATGCTTCTAAATCTGATAAAATATAAAAAGGACGTTTTTAATAATACCTAACAAGATTTCAATAATACCCAACAAGAACCACTTTTTAGTACAATAACCAAAATCAAAGTATTTTTAAATATATCACATATTTAACAGCAATCAATATGTCTTCAAAATATAATATTATTTTATTTGGGTTCTTGGGAGGAATGAATAAACAATACTAATTTCTTATTTAAGCAATGGAATCATCCATTACACTTACTGGCATAAAGAAACAATAATCAGATCTTTGCCCCAGCATTAGTTTTATTTTACACGAAAGGCCCAATGCAGGAAGTTCATGTGGGGGATGGTGAGGGGAGAACCTCAGCCCGGCCTGTGACCTCTCACAATCTGGGACTCCTCACTCCTAACCTCCGACCTGCTAGCTCCGCACTGCTTGGCTTAGTGCTGCCGTGGAGGTGAGAGAGGCGCCCGCCACCGCTGCTGTGCTTGCCAGCCCTGAGCCCAGCTTCTGGTTGAGTGGCACTCCTCCTGTGGGAGCACACTGACCACAAGGGGGCAGCTCCTGTGTTGAGCGTCTGCCCCCTGGAGGTCAGTGCGTGTCATAGTGGCCAGTTGTTCTGGTAGGTCCATGGTAACAGTCACTGGACTTTTATTATACAGACTACAGTCCTGGTGCATGAAAATTCATGCACTGGGGGAGGGGTCCCTCAGCCCAGTCTGCCCCTCTCACAGTCTGGGAGCCCTCAGGGGCTGGAGGCAGCCCGGCAATCAGGGGAAGGGGATGCCCCCATTACACCTCTACTGTAAGGTGACCAGACATCCCGCTTTTGGAGGGACAGTCCTGATTTTTAACAATTTGTCCCGTGTCCCACAGTGTTTTTAAAAAAGTCCCCAATTTTTGGAAAGATTGGGACTTTAAAACACCGTGGGATGCAGGATAAATTGTTAAAAATTGGGACTGTCCCGCCAAAAGTGGGGACACCTGGTCACCTTGCTCTATTGCTGCCATTGCCGACAGTGCAAGCCTCGGCTGGCCCTGGTTACCTGAGCCTGGGCAGCCACCATCCAAGGCTTGCCTGCACCTCCGGCCAGCCCTAAGTGGCTGAGGGACTGAGGGGACTGGGGGACTCCGGAGGCAGGTGCACAGAGCAGCTGGACCCAGCGGGGCTGAGGGGACTGGGCACTGACATTTTGTGGCTGTGGGCACCGCTATCTTTGAGGGTGTGACAGTCAATTAGCATACTCCCTCCTTATTGGCTGTGGATGCCACCATCTTTGTGAGGGTTCGATGGTCAATTAGCATATTCCCTCTTTATAAGATGGATTTAGTTTAACAATTAATCTTCCTGGCATAAAAATATGAATGTGTTTTATAGTACAGAATTCAGTCAACAGTCACAAATAAAGTTAGGGCTTGTTAACATGATTAATTTATAAATAAGCAGGTATACTAGCTAAACAATGAATGTACATGTGCAATTATGTACATATTGATATATAAATATGTACAATAAAGTTCATTATAGAAGATGATAAGCCACATGTGAAGCATATGTGAAGCTCTTCTGTAAATTCTATTGTAGTGAATAATATAATTGAGAACCCTTTAAGACCAAATGTCATATTTTTTGGGTGGATAACTCTCTAAATTAAAAGACTGGAAAGTAAATTATTTTGCAAGAAATCAGAAACTAAAATTCTAGAATGGTACTGACTAGTAGGACTTTGTGTGATGACGGAAATGTTTTCCTGTGTTGACCGTTATGGTAGCCATTAGCTAGCTGTGGCTCTGTGCACCTGCTATGTGGCAGTGCAACTAAGGAACTGAACTAATACTTTATTTATTTTTAATTTAAAATTAAATAGTCACACATGGCTAGTGGTTACCATAACTAGACAGTGAAAATTAAGACTTTGAAATATAGGCAAAAAAAGATCTCTCTGTTTGGATCCTTCCAAACAGAAAACTCTACCAATGTGTTGCAAATGATTTTTCTATTATTGAAGTTATATAGCTTTTTAAAGTATCAGGGGAGGTCAGTTAGTGACGTTGGTGGGGTTGTGAAATCTATGTATAATCTAAGTTACTCCTGGGCAGAGTTTCTCCATCTAAGTAAAAGAAGGCCCATTTTCAAAAGAAAAATAAAAAAAGATCACAAACCTCCACATCCAGTAGCAACTCTTACATTAGGTTAGTACTTAAGCACATAAACATAGAATATATATTTTTTTGGTTTTGCATTTGGCCTGCCTATACACGTGGGCTCTATGACCTAGTCAATTTTGTACCTTTTGTTTCTGTCTCTCACTATGTGGAACTTTGTGTTCACCTTATAGATATTTGGCAAGAAGGCACTGTTTACAAAGTAGGTTTACAACCAGTAATCATACTTCTTGAAATCAGCTCTATCACTGAACACACAAAAAAAATGTGGGCAGTTTTCTCTCTTAAGAGAATCATTCAAATTATCCAGAGTATACCAATTTTATTTTAAAATAGAGACAAACATTAAAATACAAATAAAAGTTAAGATTCTTGCAAAGAAATAGTTGCTCTGAGATTGTATCTATAGACCTTAGAAAAAAGAGACACCTGTTGGAGGATACTGTAGTCCTGCAGACAAGAATGCATGACATATGTTCAAATCAGCAGTGTTCCTTTTATCATTAAACACACAGATTTGATAGGTTAAAGGAAATACCTGTGAATATGAGCTAGGTTAGAACAAATCTCACATTTCTGATTTTCAGTTCATCTATAGTCATCATAAACAATACACTGTAGATTAAACTATCAGGATGAGGTAAAAGGTAAAGCATTTCAAAATGAGTTTCTGTATACAGAAGAACTTGGCAAACTGTGATAGCCACTATGTAGAATTAAGGTTTTGTTTTTAATTTATTTGTAATATCCTTACCTAAAGAGCCATTCATGTGATGTGACTCCATTCCTCCCAATCCACCCATGGGTCCATCTGAACCAGGGCCCATTGGAAACTATTTAAAAAATGAAAACATTGAAAACAATTGTTTATATCAATGTTAAAAATATCTGTCTTTAACATTTTAAGATAATTCCACAAGTTATTTTTAAGTCATAGAGATTATTTTCCTGGCTATTTTCCCACCTTATAGTCTCTACCTCCCCCCTCTCATACTCTCTTTGTTTGGATCTTCAGACTACTCCTTGTTCAGAACCACATTTTTCTTCTTCAGTTGTCCTCAAGCAGGGAACATATACAGTCAGTGCAAATGATAAACATTCTCTTCTATGCTACTGACAAACTGTGCTATTAGGAACAAGAGGTGATTTTTATGAAGTTCCTAAGATTATTAATACCTTATTAATAAGAACAATCCTACATTATTATACCAACAATATTTTTTTTTTAGCAGACAATCTATTTTTGTTCAAATGGACATAAGTAATTTCATTTTATAGGTTAAATACAGGGCATGGCAAAACTAGGTTTACTATTGTTCGTATAGAAAGTAATACAATAATTAATAAGTCTTAATACAAGAATAAACTCTGTGTTTTACATACTTACAGCTAAAAACCTACTTTTGCCCCTCCCCTTACGTTCAGCTCCTTGGGGAAAGCTGAATATAGCTAATCCTTCTTGGCAGTCTCAACTATGTCAGTTCAATAACAATCATTCTACAGCAGTTATAATTAACATTTTAAAAACCAGTGGCATTAACTTATTTTATTTTCAAGTGAAATCTTACTTTAGAAACTTGGTTAAAAAAAAACAACAACAACAAAACAGATGTGAACAGATGTGCTGTGGCAGAGCTGGTGGTGGCGAGCTCACGGTCTGCCCACTCCATCTTTCCCTCATCTCCCTGAAATACTTTTGAGGAAACTCAGATCCCAGTTTGAACATAAGCTATCCATATTATCTTATTTTTTACAGTTAAGACAACCTACTGAAAACACTTGGCTCTTAAAATTTCCCATGCCAAAAGCATTTATTCCATGATGTATGGTAGAGAATATTGAATGCGATGTGTGCATGTGTATGTGTATTTATGTATCGGGCAGTGGTAGCTACTAATCACATTGCCTTTTGGGGAGAAAACAATTCCCCTCAGCAGATAACCTGTGTACTATCAACTGTGTGGAAATAAGATGGCTATCCATCAGCTACAATGATACAGATCACATGTTATACATTTTCTCAAAGTAATGTCAATTCTGTTTCTGAAAAATTTGTTGCCTAAAAGCACATGGATTGATTTTTAGTAAACAACTTGGAATGTGTATGCCTTAACTAATAAGTCAAAGAAATTAACTTCGAACTTACAATTGTTATTCAGCCTTTGTAAAAAACATGGTTCTGGGCTTAGAAACTGGTGCTGGTGAGGCCAATAGTCCATGAACTTACTTTGGTCTTTTTATCTGGTCCTCATAGACTATAACTATATGTACTTGAAGCACATAAAACTCCAGGCCTAGTCCTCAGCAGGAATTTTCTTTTACTACCTCTGGCTGAGATGAATGACATTTGAAAAAGTGACATGTTCACCTACTGTTCTTGGATCTCTTATCTTTGGATGGAGTTAGAGATCCAGAGTTGAACATACTTGGATAATGTCAGCTTAGCTGCCCTCAAAAATGTCTTCAGTACCATATGCTCTGGGTTTCCTTTCTTTGCTCCTTCCCTTTCAAAAACCAAGTTTTAAGATATAAAATTTAAGTGTAAATTTTTTTCTATTTTTTTTGCTGAATTTCTAAAATGAACATTGTTCATTATCATATTTAGTATTCTTTAAAATATCTGTAAAAACACATTTAGACATAATTGATAGGAAACTGTTTATTTTCTTGAAAAACAATTTATTTGATGCTATAAAGAGAATAGTGATAACTAGAGGCAGTACTGCTTAACAGAACAATATGCAAGCCACAAATGTGAACTTGCATAAGTAAATTTAGATTTATTGGCAGCCATGTTTAACAAGTAAAAAGAAATGGCTGAAGATAATTTTAATAATATATTTTATATCAAAATTATTATCACTTCAACATATAGTTGATATACAAATTTTAATGAGATCTTTTTCATTATTTTTTTATACTAAGCCTTCAGTGTTATACTGACAGCACATCTCCTTTCAGACTAGCCACTCAAGTACCATCCCTACTGGACAGATTTACAGTTTCCCTTCTGTTTTAACTGCTAGGAAGCTCCATCATAAAATTATTTCATTCTCAGTACCTATGAAAATTTCTTTATGCCTTCTGCTTTTTTTTAAATTGAACTACCCTATATTTATTATACATATCTGTGTAGTAACTAAATTCTGTTAGAAATATTTTTGTTAAAATGTAGGTCTTGTATCATAGATAAATAAAATATCATTTTCTTGTAAGTTTTTGTGGGAAAAAAAATCACAACCATATGCTTTATAAAAACATCCAAATTCTTTCAGCAGAACTGCCTCAGGTCCATATTTAAACTCCAGATTTCAAAATCTAGAGAAAAATAAAAATATCCCACTTCCATATTTTTTGTCAAGTTTCTCAGGATAATATATATATATATATATATATATATATATATATATATGATCACAATGAAAAATTAGTAATGCTAAAATGAGGTAACAATTATACATTACCAGTCATTTTCAAATAGTATTAATTATCTAGTACTTGAGATAAAATAAGACTATACACAATATTTTATAATTAGGTTCACTTTTACATTTAAATTATATTGATATGAAATATTTTATATGTTATATTTTTTCAACTCAGAACATAGAATTTTATTTTCTTGATATCCATTAAGCACCTGGATTATAAAATATAAACCTTAAAGAGTATCCAAAAATTGGAATGCACTAAGAGTTTGAGTCTTTGATACATTACGAAAATTTTTAAAATCCATACTTACATTAGGCCTGTTAGGTCCAGGAGGTACTGCGTTCATTAAAGTATACATGTTGTCTCCAGAGTTGGTTGAATCTGAAACAAAATATTACTTAATTAATATCTTTCTTTATAATCTATATCCAACTCATCACAAAGAAATAATCAAAGATAATCTGGACACCGCACTATTGTCTGTGTCCATGGGCTATGCATATATGCATATAAATTCCCTGGTTAATGGTTAACCTCTCCCCACCTACTCTTACACCCCTGTTTTCCCTCTGAGATTGGTCAGTCTGTTCCATGCTTCTGTGTCTCTGGATCTATTTGGCTCCTCAGTTTATTTTGTTCATTAGATTCAGATATGAGTGAGATCATGTGATACTTGTCTTGCCCTGACTGGCTTATTTCACTTAGCATAATGAAATAAGGCACTCTCAAGGTCCCTCTATGCTGTCTCAAATGTAAGAGATCCATTTCTTTTTTTATTCTGCTGACTACTATCCCATTGTGTAAATGTACCATAGCTTTTTTTATCCACTCATCTATTGATGGGCACTTGGGCTATTTCCATGCTTTAGCTATTGAAAATTGCACTGCTATAAACATAGGGGTTCGTATATTTTTTCTGATTGATGTATCAGGTTTCTTAGGATATATTCCTAGAAGTGGGATCACTTGGCCAAATGGCAGTTTCACATTTAATTTTTTTTTTTTTTTTAGGAAACTTTATACTGTTTTAATATTATAGGTACATGTACATTTATCTTAGTAAGGTAATAGATTGGTGGGTCAGATTTGCTGTATTAAACCTAATGAATCCATGCATTTCATGTGTTAACTTATGCAGGATTTTTCTAAATTTTGAGATTTGGTACAGTCTCAAGGAATCTTTTAGTCAGATAATTATTGGACAATTCATACAGATCAATACAATTTGCATCCTGAGTATATGTTACCTACATAACAGAAATTTTCTAAATGCTTAAAGCAATTGGACAATAGGGTGTTTAAGAACATGGTTTCTTCCTACTTGCTATCTCTACTCTATGCCTTATCCATCAATGAGACAATGAATGCTACTCACTTTCAGAACAATTTCTCTATTGTATTCTAATAATCAAATGCCAGTGTGGCCAGTCTGATTACAATACCTGCTGGACTAGGCATGATGGGTGTTCCTGGTGGCCCTCCACCTCCCGGAGGACCCTAAATAATTATACAAAATTTCAGTAAAAATAAGGCACTTAATTGAATAATATAAATAAACACAGAAGAAAAGTTAGACTTATTTTAATAGTAATATGATTTGAAAATATCAGAGAAAATCAATTTTCCCCAAATTTATTTTCTTTTAATGTACAGTCATTTTAATCTTATGTGAAGTATAATTCAGTTTAAGTATGTTGAGATCGTTTTGACAAGTTTCCCAAAAACAATGAGCCTGTAAACTGATTTATTATTCATGACTTAATCACACCAGGTATAATAAGGTTAAGGAGAAGCCATTTAATCAGGGTTTTACAAATCCATAAAAGAGAAGTAATTCATGTGTATTTGTGATTTAGTTTATTGTAAGCTTCTCATGTTTTGTATCCGTAGCTCTTATAGGAAATTAACAACCAAAAGATATTTCTATGTTTAAGAAATACATTGATTCTATTTATTTCTTCTATCAGTATCAATTGTAAACCTTCCGGAGCATTGTGCCTTCATCGTTCACATCAGTCAGAAATGAGAGGCAATGCTGACTAACGCTGTGGGTTACTAAGGCTGCAGCTACACAATCCACCTGAAATGGAGATTAGGTAATTCTAAAATTATCCAGTAATTTCAGATGTACAGTCATCAAAATAACTAGGAAATGGGTCAAGTTTCACTTCATTTGGAGTGTGCAGACAGAATATTAATTATTTCAAATGACATATGTAGTTGCTATTTAATAAGCAATTTAAATTCCTATTCAAATAAATATATTCCATTCATAAAACTACAAGGTGTCCCAAAATGTATACACACCTTGAATAATTATTAATTTTAACAGGTGAAATCTGAAAATTAAAAAAAATCAATTGAGCTATTAGCTATTAAGTGTGTATACATTTTTTGGGCCACCTCATATATATATATCAGGCTTATTCTTAAGAAAAAATAGGTTTTATCCCATTTTTCTTACTTTCATTTTTGTTTCATAGAAAATGTGAAAACTATGAGACTTCTTTAGTTTGTATAATGTAAGGAAACAATGAGCACAGGTCCAATGCGGCAAGTGCTTTTCACTATATCCATACCACACTATTTTCATGGAGGGAAAAGGACTCCTTCTTCCTACTTTAGTTAGCCACCACTTCTGAAAATTTCTTCAGGAAAGATTTTCCTTTTTACAGTTTTATCCTTGTTTCCCTGTTAGGCAATGGCCCTTAAACACAGGGTGGGGTAAAAGTAGGTTTACAGTTGTGAATATATGAAACACAGAGCTGATTCTTGTGTTATTATTTATTAATTAATATATTGTTTTCCATATGGACAACTGTATACCTACTTTTATCCCCCTCTCCCCTGTGTTATAATGGCCTTGAGATGCAGCAAGGATTATATTGTAATGATGGTTCAAAGGTCATTTGCAAGTTCAAGAGCTCATGTAAAATCTGTTCATTTGATTTGAGGTGTATATGAGTTATTTAAAAAATGTAATAAGTACTAAAAGTTAAAAAGAAAAATGAGTATTTTAAATTCCTAAGAATGAAATAATAACTTAAAATATCCCTCCTCATTACCAGTCATTTTTATTTATTTATTTATTTATTTTTTTAGCTATTTGGTTATCTTTGTGATTGGGAGAGTTAAATGCCTTCTGAGTCTTTGTGGGTGGGAAGTGGAGAAGTAGGGGCGCAGATTATCCTCCTGAAGAACTGGAAATTCAAGCATATCATTGTGTAACCGGGGAAGGCTTTCTTCATGATTGGGCAGAGTGTATTGTACAGGTTTACAGGAACATATGCTAAAGTAAGACACAGTACTCAGGGCAATCTTGGCCAGATTGATAACTGTTTCACTAATGAACATCAACATATGTACTGAGGTTGGCAGACGAAACAACTCAATACAAATCAGTTGTTCACATCTTGGCTAATACACAGGGGCTCTTCTTAACATCTGGACAACAAATTCATTGCCCAAATAAAACGTAACATCAATTCTTATGAGCAAAGAAACCCAAATGTACTTACTACATAATTCCCAGGAGATGCTGAGGAGTATGGTATCTGGAACATAAACAGGACAAAAAAATAAAAGAGAAAAGTTTGATTTTTGTGACAGTATGGAGAATGACCTAAAATGAATCTATTTTCTAACTTCTATCGAGTTGTTGTTTTTTAAAAATTTTAAATAGTTTTTTTTTTTATTGATTTCAAAGAGGAAGGGAGAGGGAAAGAGAGACAGAACCATCCATGATGAGAGAGAATAATTGATTAGCTGCCTCCTGCACGACCCACACTAGGGATCGAATCCATAACCAAGGCACATGCCTCAACTGGGAAGCGAACTGTGACCTCCTGGGTTCATAGATTGACACTCAAACACTGAGCCACGCCGACAGAGTATATAAAGTTTTAAAAGGATAGTGAAGGATAAGGGCATTTTTATCTGAGTGCTAGAAAACTCAATTACTGCAATAGTTTCTTGAATTTACAAAAAAGAGTAGAGTTTAGACAGAATTACAGCTAGCTTTAAGTTATATTGGTTTCAGGCCAGTTGTACTCACTGCTTGATACTAATGACACAGTTGGTAATTAGAAAGATATATATTTGTGCAGCTAAAAACCAGAAAGCAGTGTTTTTCAAATTAGTAGCTTTTACAGATGCAACTTCTGATTTATGTATATTCTGAGATACAGTGTTTTTTTTTCTTTTCTTAAAGACAGGTTTCAGGGTACTACATTCATGCAATACCTAATATATAGACCTCATCTTTCCACCTTTCCTTTATAATTAACACTAGAAAGTATTATAATAAATGCAAAATATCTTGTTACTATTAAGTCTGCAAAGACTACTAATTTGTGAGGACCAGACATAGGTAACAAAGTCCCTCTTTCTCTTCAAATTAAGCACCGAACCAATTGCTTTTCTAGAGATTAAAAGATGTCACTATAACATTGCTATGATAGTTTTAAAAATAAAAACTGGAAAACATATATAAAAATAAGTTAAAGGCAAATAATTTCTTTCTTCACACAAGCTGACTCGCTCACTTACACCAAAATTCTGCCCACCCAGAAGAGGCATTTTTGCCTTATTCTGAATAAATCTCTATCTTCCTGCAGTCAGCCAGCCAGGGCCAGAATTCTAGAAGGACCTTTAGCATAGCAAACAGAATTTAGTGCCTGAACCTGTAGCCCTCCTACTACCCCAACACCTTCCATATAATTAAACATAAAAAGAATATGAGACCATAAGTAGGCAGAAGGCAGTACAACAAAGCTATGGTTTTCTATTGGTGAATATGTCTTTGATTGAGAAACTTTTTAAGATTGTTCTTTGAAAATCCTCTCCTCATTGACTAGTGTCCTTGATTTGCCTTAAGCACAGACCACGTGTCTCTGAGGCCCGTGGTTGGTCCTATGGGTAACTCGGCATTGCAGATGGCCATTGCCGGAGGGCCCAGCATCACTGCTGATGAGTATGACTTCCACTGTGGATTCTGGGCAATAAAACATTCACTCACCTCGGTGAGTGAAGACAACTTTGCTCTCTTGGGCCCCTGTGAGTTTGTGACCTCCTGTCCATCCTTTGCTTTGTAGTATTTTAAACTTGTGCACCCGCCCTCTTCAAGGATCAACTTATCCACTGGCTCCAATTTTTATCTCCCTATAACCGGCTTATGTTCTTCCCCTCTCTCTATTGCCTACCATTTTCCTAAGCAATTTCAAAATACATGCTAACCACCAACCTTTGGCATTTACATTTCACCGTCTTCCTTTATAATATTTCAATCAAAATCTTCTCCCATCACAATTCCTCCATTTTTACTAAGTCCATTTTCTCCTACTAGCTTACTGATAAGTTGCCTCTGCCCTCCCTATGCCCCTATCAACATTTTATTTTTCTCCAATATCTTAAATTCATTAACCTAAAGCTGACTTTGTTAATTTCCACTCTCTAGCTACATTTTCTGTTTTACAGTAGGGATTTCCTAAAAAGAAACACAAAACAAACTTGACAAGGTCCAAAATGTAATCATGTTATCCAGCTTCAATATTGTCTTCATGAGTATGTGGAAGCATTTTGGCTCAGCCTTTATGGAGGCCCTGAAGCATTTCAGTAGTGTGCCAGTGAATCCTGCAAACTCCTGGGGGGTGGGGGGTTGGGAGGTGATGTAGTCATGATGATTATACCATCCTGAGTTGGTACCTTCTGCCATACAGTAAAGGCATTCTTTTTATGCCTTCATCTTCTGCTCAATACTTTCTTATTTATAATTTTTTTTTTATCCATTTATGTCTGGTAGAAAAAATCTTTCTGTTTGTTTCCAAAGCTAGCCTCAAGTCCTTGCTCCTTTTATATTTTTAATTTTTCCCTCTTCATGACTCCTTCAAATACAGTTAAATATAATAAACATTTAAAAATACTTAAAAATTTATCTCATCTAGTTGTTCAATGTATTTCCATTTTTACCCTGCTGAGCTCTTTGATTTTGGCTTATCCTTGCTATTTCTATTTTATATTCTTGGATACACTCATTAAAACAAAAGGAGCATTTGGGCTCCTACCCCTAGCATTCTACTGAATATTCTTGAAAGTTACCAGCATTATCTGACAGCCTAGCATCAAAGAAATAAAATATAACAATATAGGTAGAAGTACTATGTGGGTACAGAAGATATATTTGAGCTGGGCAGCTGAGACTTAGAGAGAGTGGGTGACCATCAGGAAGACAAAGAATAGCAGGAAAGATGGATGGAAGGAAGGAAAGAAGGAAAGAAGGGAGGAAGGAAGGAAGGGAAAAGAAAAATATATGGAAGTATATAGCTTATTAGGGAAATGCTTATGTGATTTATTTTTATTTTTTTGTTAATCATCACCCAAGAATATTTTCCCATTAATTTTTAGAGAGGCTGCTAACATAAATTATTTTTCCTCTCTAAAAATATGGTAATTACTTGAGAAGAAAGTGGTTTATGCTTTAGAATAGTAAAGGATTTAGGATGATGTTTTCTATACAACACACACCTCACTTTAAAATTTCTTGAAGTTTAAATTAACCTTATACATTGACCAGTCTCATGTTGATTTGGCAGTAAGGCTGAGGTTAGCCAATGAAGGCATCTCAGTGTATATTAGAAGAGGAATCCCCTCTGGGCAGATGTTCACAGACTTCACAAGCCATATTTCAGTCTCTTGCTAACTCTCTTGGTTCAGGCACCTCTGTGAGGTGCACACACTACACACACATTCACAGCAGACCTCGCTCACATAATGATTTAAAGGTCAAGAAGGAGAAATATCTGCAGGATCATTAAATAAAAATCATATTAATTTTAAGATTGTAAATTTAATTTTCAAACTGTGCATACTTTATGTGACATTATTGAGAGAGAAATATTTGTGCAAACCACTGCCACAAACATGTGAGGAAAATCACAGATAGATGTGTAAGGGTGGCAATTTAGACCACAGGCCCAAGACCAATGCACACTTGCTTCCTGGGGCAGCAACGGAGCAAGCCTAGATGCCACTAGTACAGAAAATATAATCATTGGAACCCTGATTGAGACTGATCTTCTCTGGCAACTTAATGATTATACAGTTATTTTAGAAGATCAAATCATTTTATAATAAATCATTTTACATAAATCACATCATTTTATAGGTTACTATAGTATACTTAAATCACACTGTCTACTTTATTTTTGAAGGTCTGTTAATCTATACAGAATGTTTGTTTACATTAAACCTTAAGTGAAAAAATTACAATTATAAATATTTAAAAGAATATATATAAGATGTATAGTTTTGAATGATTACCTTTAAGAAAGATTAATATAACCAACTGCAGGGCTTTCAAAAGCAACAGACTTTTGTTGTTAAATGCTAAAAAGTGCAAAGAAAATTTAAAAATACATATACTCACTGAATTGGCATTTGTTGGGTTTGGCCAAGGTCTGCCACCACCTGGACCCCTACAAGACAATACAATAAATAAAATTTAAACTTATGCTTTGAATGTCTCACAATAATACCACAAAATATTAACATTTACAATACAGCCACCAGGAAGTTCTAGTTCAACAATGAAACTGCTCTATACTTATTTTCAGTTTTTTTTCTAGTGTGTATGATAAGAACATTTTTTATTTTTCCTGAGAACAACAAAAGCTATTGGGATTGTAAATTATGAAACAATTTTATCATTTCATAACATAATTTTCTTTCCAAATCAAACTACTTTTAATAAGTCCAGTTTCACTTTAATATTAAGTTCAGTTATTGTAATAACCACTAAAAGTTGTGATCACCTATATTAGTAAATGTATACATATACTTAAATCATTAAAAAAACACACTATTGAAGTAAAAAGTCTTAATTATGAAATAGATACTATAAAATATAATCTTGTAACATCAATATAAGCACCCCATGTATCTCATTAAAAATAAAAATAAAATTATTTGTAAAATATCTAATGTGTAAAAATGATTATTCTTTTTAAGCTACAAATAAATGTATACAAATGTGTCTAAATTTTCCCTCTTTTAAAAAATCAGATTATCACATATTACATTATACACTTATATATCAACCTATCTTTCAGTGATAATGACAATTTAGTTTACTATTAAACAAGAGAACCCCATTTCTTGTTGTAATAATTGTAGTGGAACACAGTTGCCAGAGTAAATTTGGGGGAAATAGGAGCTTACCTATACCAATGTATGTCAATATATTACTTAATTTTAGGGTGAAGAATGATTTATATTCTATAGTCTAAAAGAACATCACATTTTTAAAACAAAATTAACGTCTAAGTCAGAAAGGTTCCTTCTTTTTCTACTTTGGTATTAAGTATACCTGAATAATACTGCCTGATAGAAAGTAGACCACAGATAGTCCTCTGTAATTAGGGTCACTAAAAATTCTTCTTTTCCTCTAATCACAGTGAGAATTTTTACTAAGAAAAAGTCCCCTTATTCTTATTCTGTGGCTTGTAAATTCTACCTTAATTACTTTTCATGTGGTTTGTTCAATGTTAAATAATATACAATAAAGAACTGAGAAATATTTATCTGAAAACAACATAAAAATATACTATATCCACATAATGGCAAAATTGTTTACAATTATGTTATATATTATGTTCAAATAACAACTGTCTGAATAATGTATATGTAAAGTAAAATATTTTATTTGTTAATACTTTCCATACATTTCAATTATTTGACAAATAACAATCTAATCTCATGTGCTTCATATTAAATTATATTTTAATATAATTGGTTAAGTATTCATATAGATAAACTAAAGTTCCCCAACTTTACCATTGCATTTGAAAACATTTTAAGTTTCATAAAAGTATTAAATAAAGTGGGGATTACAGTAGGGAGTATTTTTATTAGGACAATTACTAAGCTCAGTCATTCCAAGTACTTTTGAGGGCCACCAGTATCATCAAGAAAATAATCTACAATCTATAACATGGGCATTATTTCAAATAAAAACTTCATTTAAAAATAAAGAGAAAAATGGAATTGAAAAAGTCCATATGTCTTAGTAAGGGTATATGGATGTTATAAAACCAAAGCAACCATGATTACCATGCAGAAAATTCCTCTTTTGTTTTATAATTCAGTCATTTTATTTCCAGATAACAACTACACACACTTTATGATTCTGTAAGATATTAATAGAACAAGAAGGTCTAGACTCCTTTTGTTTCTATAAACAAAAGGTATTCAACATCACATTAGAAGAACTTTAATGCTGAATCCTAAATTCTTTGGGAATTTGTAAAAAATGCAGTTAATTAAAATATATAGTTTCCTTTAAAAACAATCTATAATGCATTGAAAATATTTACATTGGTTTATAAATTCTACCTTAAATTACTGATATTGACATTAAGTTTTTACTTCTAAAGATATAACTAGTTATAGAAACAATAAAAGTATATATTATTTAATTTTTAGATGATACTATGAATAATTTATGCTGAGTTTAGAGCATGAAATGTAAAAATTATGTCAGAATAACCATATTTTTTGGAGGTGACTAACTTTTTTAACAAAATTATTAAAATTCTGTTTCAAATGGTGTTTTCTTCAATAAAGAGGTAAAGTTGCTAGTGAAAATACAGTATTTAATTACTTCAGTGACCAGGGTTTGGTATTTTTCATTGTCATTAAACTTTCATTGCAAACAAGAAAAGTGATAAGCTAAAGAAAACTTATCCAGATAATGATTCTCTGGCAGGTCTCTCGTGAACCAACATTCAAGTATCTTAGATAATTAAAATCATAGCTTAAGCTAACGCTGTTATAATGCCATTTCTTTTAATTTTTAAGATACCCAACATGTAAAAAAGTAAAATGAAAAAATACAGAAACACTTACTTGTCAAAACAAAGTAATATCTATTTTGTTTAAAGATAATAAATTATGAAGTAAATTTCAATAAAGTTTACTCTATTGAGTACAGTAGAGATAATGTTTTTTTTTTTTTTTTAGATGTCTCTTTAAATTCACTTTGTTGGGGCCAATATCAACACAAAAATTAATCTCTCTGGTTTGATCTTCCATACATAAGAACTTTCCATGTTAGAGGGACATATATACAAATGTAAACACATACATATTTACACTTCATCATCCTTGAAGGAATCCTAATTTACAGAAAACTGAAAATGATGTAGGACCGTGAATAAAAGTCAATAATAATAAATAATGGAAATATGAGTATGTAAGGCTTAAAGGTTCTTTAAACATCAGAAATTATATAAGTAGTAACATGTAACAAAAATACTTCAAAGTATCTGGGTATATTTAAATGAGAAACACAAATTCAAAGAAACAAAAATAATTATATTAAAACTATAGTAGCCCAGGTATGACATTTGTGCACTGGGGGGAGGGTCCTTCAGCTTGGCCTGCACCCTCTCGCAGTCTGGGACCCCTCAGGGGCTGTCCACCTAAGCCAGCAGGTGGATATCCCCCGAGGGGTCCTTAGTGCTGCCTTGGAGGCGGGAGAGGCTCCACCACCTCAGCCGTGAGCCCAGCTTCTGGCTGAGTGGCGCTCCCCCTGTGGGAGTGCACTGAACACCAGGGGGCAGTTCCTGTGTTGAGCATCTTCTCCCTGATGGTCAGTGTGTGTCATAGCGACTGGTCGTTCTGCCATTTGTGTCTGTAGGTCTTATTAGGATTTTATTATATAGGATTGCATATTAGGGATTTATTATATAGGATTTTCATCCATATTTTTAGTCTTCATACTCTAGGGTATTAAATGTGTGTGTATGTGTATATATATGTGTGTGTGTGTGTGTGTGTGTGTGTGTGTGTGTGTGTGTGTAAAAAGGGAACTAGACAATTTAAGCAGCTATTTGCGTCTCATAATTATATGTGTGTATTTAATTATAACAAAGAGTCCTAAAATATTACATATATTCTTAATATTTAATGATAATTCTGGATTGATCATAGTATTAAAAATGTATATTCCTTAAAAGCTATTGCATTTTAAAGTCAGAATCTCAGGTAGGTAAATCTTACTGTTAAGAGATTCAGCTTTGATATCAGCCCAAAATATCACTCTCGCTTTTTTGCAGCAACCATTAATAAAGGCTAAGCCTTGGAGGGACCTAAGAAAAGTTAGACTTCATGTCTAACCATTTTTACTTTAAAAGTGAAAAGATGTAATAGAAAAATTTGACCTACTTTTCCCCCTTGTTCTGTTAGTTTTCAGTCTGGCTGATACCCACCTATTAACCTATTTTCTATTTTAGGCAAAATTGCTTTACATGAAAATCCCTGTGTGTATCTCACAGTATATCTTCAATGCCATTAAATGGTGGCAGAGTTGTTTAATTTGACATGTAAGTGACCAAAACATGGATTATGGAAATAGAGGAGACTACCCACAGCCCTATATTAAACATCTTTATCATCTCTGTAAGCTTTCTTTAAGCCACATCGTGGCACTGATCCCCTGGTTAATTAACCAACATTACTAACAAACACCTTGAAGGAATCCTGTTTACAGGAATCCTAATTCACAGTTAATGGAACTTTGAGGGCAACTTGGATAATTAAAAATTCCTTAACAAATTGCATGATATTGGCTGATAAAAGCAACCCACTGTCTTTGGGCTTAAAAGGCCTTTTCATAAAAACAAACAAAAACAAAAAACCCAAACTGTGTACTCCTTATCTAAGTGCACCTTGATCTTTCGCAAGGAAATGCATCCTGTACTATGGAAGTTCTTTAACAGGGACGATACTACCAGAGAGAACTCTTTCTTGTGTTGAGAGTGGGCCCAACGAAGCAAAAGGCACACACAGAAGAGCAGGAAATGCCACTCTCAGGAATCGTTAGGTACCTATTAAAATGAAGTTACTAATAAAATGTTCACTTCTGTAGAGTTAAGACATGATCTCTTCATATTTTGTGTAGATGATATGGAGACTCCGTACTTATCTATTTAAAAAAAAAACTTCGTTTTATGATAAATAAATAAAATATAAAAGAAAAAAAGAAACAGGCTAAAAGTTGGCATTTATGGCATCTGAAAATGGAAAAGAAATGAAAGGCACAAGGGAAGGAAGAAAACCATAGAGAATATGTTCTGAAAATGAAGCAGACACTACAGCTCATGCTTACTCCACTTTTACACCTCCCAGACTGAAGAGCTCAAACTGCCTTACAAATCAGTGTGGCTTTTGAAGATGGAAAATAGGATAATACAGCATTTTGCTTACATGTTCATTCCGGGCATTCCAGGGCCACCTAAAGCATTCAGTGGGGGTCTCATTGCACCTCCATAGTTCTGTAATGATAACCAAGGGTCAGACTACCACAAAACAAAAAAACAAAACCAAAGAGGAGGGGGGAAAGAAAGAGAGCAGATTAATGACTTCCCTGCACAACTCCTGACTGGATAAGGCCTGTGCGATTCATTCTCTGAAGGGTCCACTCTTGTACTTTTGCTTCCATTTTAACAATTATTTTGGTTTGTGTCTTTTAAAAATTATGTAAATATGAAAAGTCACTGTAGCATGTTAAATGATTAAGGTATAGTTGCAATGATATTTAACATATCTTTATTAATTTGTATATCTGTACAACAGTGAACTTTAAAACATTTCACAGGTTTCAAAATTGTTTTTAAAGAAAATACTTAGTCGACATACTTGAAATTGTCAGACCCAGAACATTTACATAAAGTCTGGGGAAAAAATACCTCCCAGATGAACCAATAAAAGAAAGTTGAACCAAACTTCTGTTCACAAAATAATATACCCAACACAGAAATGCACTAATACCAATGTACAAAAATATATGAAAACTAAAGTAAACTCAGAATATGTATGCATATATTATGATTCAATAGGTTTCTGTCATTCAAATGATAAAAATGTTTAATGTTTTAACATGCATATTATATTAACTTACTCTAATTTCCATAAGGGCCAAATCATTCTTATTATTTCAATAAATGTACATTAATGAGTAATTTTATCTGCTACTATTAGTTCAACAACTATTTCTACTAGGAATCCCAAATCTTTTCTATTTTGTCAGGATAGATCTCCGAAGTGCCTGGGTAACTCATGTTGAACTTCACATGAATCATTTCCACTTCATGCTCAGCAGGACGGAAAGTACACTGAATAGTCTCTCTCATGGCTGCCCTTTGCATTACTTTCCTCAGTTCTGTGGAATGACCTCCACACACCAGTCCTGGCTAAGACTCTCCAGGAGCTTTGACATATCTTCCTTTGCTTTCAATTCCTGTATCCAGTGAGTTACCACGGTCTATTGATTCTACCTGTGAAATACCTCTTGAAGTAGGGCTCTCCTTGTATCACAAATATTAGTGATACAAGGAGACTACTTTATTGTCTTAATTGGTCTCTCTGACTCAGCCTCTCCCCCTCCCAATCTATTCTCCCTACTGCCCTCCAAAACTCTGGTCCTAAAACTTAGTCTTCTTCAAATCATTTAAAAGCCATGATGATCACACTGCCTATCAAATACAGACTCGACTCCTCAGCCTGGCTCTGTGGGATTATTCACATACTTCCTGTCCTCATTTCCTACAATTACCTTCTTCCCCCCATCCCAACTACATCCCGCAGCCTCCTGAGTACCTCGCGGTTCGGAAACCGGCAATACAAATGTACTCATGTTAACTCATGTGCTGTGGCCTTCTGTGTAGTAGGTGCTAAGATGACAAGGAAATGTTCAATGAAGGAAGTCTGTTAACTCCAGAGAGTAAGCCACAGTTTATAAATAATTTATCTACTTACATGCTATTCTCATTGTTTATTTCTGTTCCTTTCAGGAAAGTTTGTGTGCTACGGGACAGTAGAATGGTTTCTATCCATACTTTGAGTCAGGGGTTAAAAGGATAGCTATCTCCTTAACCTCTGGATCAAGCCGGTGGAGGCGGCGATAATATTAGCAAGGAGAAGAATGTCATTGGGGAAAAATCTGAATGGTAAAGTACACCCCTGGGACAATAGTAAACATGTATTTAATATTTATTTAATGGATAGATAAATAAAGTTTGCTCTAAATCCTATTAATCTATTTAAATTAAAAATTCAGTGGTAACACATTTTAAAAAATGCTATCACTATCGTTTTTAGATAGTGATAAGCAACACAAGGAAAGTTTGCCCTGAGTTTTGGTCTTAGAAGATCTGTGTTTTATAGTACTAAGGAAAACATTAGTCTTCCTCAGAGCTCTGGACACAGAAAGACATTGGGCTGAATCTCTATTGCCCCTGCCCCATTTCCTCTGACCCTCTTTCTACATGTGTGATATTGGGCCCGTGATCCTTCCAATGATCCGCTCCACCTTAACTTCCTTATCTATAGAGTGATCACACCTTTTCCCTTGTAAGCTTGTGGGAGGATAAAATGAAATCATAAACAGCTATGACAGTGCTTGGTATATTAAAGGCATCATAGCTGGTGCTCCAAAATTATAGTTGCTATCTTTTTTTGTCACCATTAATAAGGGACCAACTTTAAATGAGTTCTCATCAGCTTCCCTTGAGCTCTCAAGCCTAACAGAATTACTTAGCTTCTTTATGTAACTACTCCCTGATAGAGTATGCATATTTCCTTTCTACATTTTTTTCCCTGCTGCATAATAGTTTTTCTTTATGTTTCTGCTCCTCCTGCTAAACAGTGAGCTCCTTGAAGGCAGAGTCTGTTTTACTCTTCTTGGTATACCCAGTGCTCAAGTGCCACAGGAAGTAAGAAATTTTCAACTTATAATTTTATAGGTTTATAAAATATTTACTTTTTGCGATTAATTTGAAGCAAAAAGGAAATAGGAATATAAGGAAGAATAACAACTAGCTTTCCAAGTGGTATCAACAAAGGCAGAATAGAAAGAGCTAATTTAGAATCGCTGAATTTTAAAGTTTATGGCAGCTATACAATTCCATCTGGTTAATCTCACTCCCAATGCAATGTTCCTGACAAAATGGCTCTTCAGACGCTGCTTGAAAAGTTTACAGAGTTTTTCCATGATTGGGCAGTTTAATTTCTAGATATTTCTCCCTTATCCTGAACTGAATTCTACCTCAATCTTATATTTGAAAATGCAGAAATTCATTTACTCTCTCTTTACGTGACAGCCATCACGTATTTCCATCTCACCATGTCTCCACCTCAAATATCTGAGTTGGAAATCATGGTATGTTTTCATTTGTATGTAAATCAGTTAGCCTTTAGCTTTCTAGAAGAACTAGAAATAGTTGGGTAGTCTTGGTGAATTTTCCTGTTAATTGCATGGCACCTGCTGAGCATAGAACACAGATAAGATAAGTATTTCTTAGCACAAAAGCAAGTAAAAAAACGACTTCAAATTTTGGTATTAAGAAAGCAAATTTTCTTGATTAAATAGATAATTTTGCTTTTCTATTAAAAAGATAGTGATATCACTTTTAAAAATGATGTGTTACCAGTTACCACTGAACTTTTAACTTAAATAGATTAATAGGTGGGAAAAATATGCCAGGATTTAGAGCAAACTTTAATTTCTTCATCCATGCAATAAATATTAATTACATGTTTACTATTGTCCTAGGGGTGTGCTTTGCCTAAATCAGCATTGTATAAGAATCAGTAGACAATATATAATTCTTTGTTCTAGTAATTAAATTGTTCCAATAGATAACTATTATCCCTGCTCACCACACTGATCTAAAGCTCAAAAAATAATAGCAACAAGATGTATATTTTGTTTGTGCATAAAGCCAGAAACAACATTATGCTTCTATAATTCAACTACAAAAAAAGCAGGTGCATTCCACTCTTAGGTGGCATCTGTATGATTAAATGTGTTATGAAAGTTGTTTTCCTATTTTCTTTCAAGAAACACAGCTAACCTTTACTACACATTTCACAGTTTATAATGCCTATGTTTTATATACCAGGTGTTATGAGTAAATACCTCACAAGAATTCCCCATTCCAAATGATCTTTACCTTACTTTTTATCTATTATTCATTCATATGATTCCTGTTTTTATTTAAGTAAATGATATATATAAATACTTTCTTTAGCCTTTTATTTATTTTTATTTTTATTTTTTTAAAATATATTTTATTGATTTTGTACAGAGAGGAAGGGAGAGAGATAGAGAGTTAGAAACATCGATGAGAGAGAGTCATCGATCAGCTGCCTCTTGCACATCCCCTACTGGGGATATGCCCGCAACCAAGGTACATGCCCTTGATCGGAATCGAACCTGGGACCCTTCAGTCCCTAAACCAACGCTCTTTCCATTGAGCCAAACCGATCTTGGCTTTTTAGCCTTTTATACTTTATATATTGTGTTTTACAAAATGAGTGTAGGTATTTCTGGCTTCTTAGGTAAACTCACACAAAACACTTTATTTCCCTCAAATTATATAGAAATAGATAGCAAGGATACTAATCCACATGGAAGAAATAAACTACTTTCTTTGGGTTTGAATATGCAAAGAAAGAATTCACACTTATATGATAAACCTACTTATTAAAACTCATTAGTAAGAGATTATTCACCATAAATATACTATCTTACATTGAATTTTTTTACTTGTAACAAAATATAGAACTATTTATAAACCAAAACACAGACCAGTATGCTTTGTATTTCAAACGCTACAAAACAGACTCTTAAATCAGACTCTAGTTTTCAAACTATTAAAAATATTGGTCTAGGAATGACAAAAGCTTAAAAAGCAGCTACCTGAAAAATAAGTGAACTGAATTAAGTCTGATTAAATTATAAGCATACTGTTTTGATGTATCTTTAAAATATATCTATTATGAAAATCTTCTGAAAAAAAAAAAAAAAAGCCTGTACATTCTGTATAGCCAAATTGTTTGGCTTAGTTCATTAAATATTTAGCCTATTAAAAACTTCTGTATATTCAATCTATGAAATATCCTATAGGTTTTATGAATTCTAATTACTATTAATAGCTTATGATGGTTGGTCACAAATTATTATTGCTAACATGAGTAGTAACAGGGAAAATAATTTAAATATAAAAATAAGATTTTTATAAGATATTAAGAAAGCATATAAAGACTGACCCTAAATGAAAGAAATTATTATTTATTCTGACTGAGTATCTCACATATATTTAATCTAGTGGTATAAATTATTCTTTCCTGACTGTGAGCATCTCACTATCTCACATAGTATTTTCCCCCATGTAATATGATATTTCTGAAAAATTAGGTTATATATAGTTCAATATGGTTCGTACATTTATTACTGTATTTTGGTTAAAAACCCCTAGGCCTAAGTCACATTATCTGGGTGTTAAATTCTAAATCTCTGACTTCTTTGGCCACACAACAAAATTTTAATTTTTAAAAATAGATTCATGAGACAATTCTTAAAACTGTCACTAATAAAGCTGTTCTTGAAAAGGACAAATTAAATTAATTCATTATTTTAACTAGCATTATAACATGCTAACCTCTGACCCATGAGGTAGAAATTTTAATTTCTGGGTTTGGATTAGTTTCTTTGAAATATAACATTATAAAATTAATTTCTACCCCATGTAGTTTTCACAAGAAGACAAAAAAGATATTTCAGCCAAAATAAATAATATCTTGGAACAGCATACTTAAAAAATGTCACTAACGGCTAGGATAGATTTGACCTCAGTGTATACTTCTGGGAAATTTTGATAGAGTAATAGGCGAACATCTGATGTTTATTGATAGCACTATGCTTGTTCAGCAAGACAAATTTCCAATGGTTATTTTCAAATTATTTTCTATTATTTCCATATTCTATAAAGAAATATGGTAGTATAAAATAGTCAATGACATCCTCCAAAATACAGAGAAATACTTTATATTGCTTATTTTAATATTTTTAAACATTTAATTTATATGGCTGTTATCTTTTATAACAATTTTCTACAAATTTTTTATATATTTCTTCAATATAACTAACAAAAGGATAATAATTATCTTTTTATAATAACTACTATAATGCATTTTCTCAAATACTGAATGCATATGTGACAGCACCTGTAAATATGGTTTGCTGCTACATCAATATGGACGTTACAGATACTCTATTCTCAAGAGCCTAACAACTGTATTATATCAAGCCTTTTAAGGCATACAACAAAAGCCAGGACATAACATAGTTTGTTTATATAAAGTAAAGGCAAAATACTCAGCGTTTACTTTCTGATTATTTACCTGTGGTCCTAAGGGCACCATTCCTCTCGGAGGAGTCATTCTCTGCATTGGCCCACCCATATTTGGATGTCCTAAAATAAAAGTAGGAAGGTATTAGCTAGGAAGTGAGCATGGTGCCAAACCAGAGGGCAGGAGTCTCCTCTCTGCGTGGTGCTTAATTATTCTGCTTCTCATGTTATCACTGCCTTCATCATTATGCATAATTAAGACACAGCTAAAAATATAAATCACTTGGCCATGCCATCTGCAAAAATGCAACTGGTATAATTATGGAAGATTTATTCAAATAAAAAAATTCCTTAAAAAATAAAAGATTTCCTTTAAGATTCTGCACATCTATTTCACTTTTACTCTAAACCATCACCTTGTTGTCGAGTTGGGTCCATTCCACTGGGGAGCAATGGCTGACTTCCTGGGACACCTCCAAGTGCCTAGCATTTTTAGTAAAAACAAAATGAAAAAGCAATACTGTAAATATTTATAAAAAGAAGGGCTTTAACAATCCTCTTTTAAAATTCCCATAATTACAGAATGCATTTATTTTACAAGATTTGTTATTTATTTCACATTCATTTATACATTTTATAGGTCGATAAACCTAATAGAAATTCTTAGTTCTAAAATTATTCTGTTTTGCCCAATTTTGTGGCAAGCAAAATAAGTATTTCGGGGGAACAAACATCTGGGCAAAAGTTGTCCTACATTTTTCAAATAAGTATAATGCCTTTGCTTCAGTACTAAGGGTACTGAGATAAGTAATTTTGCTTCTTAAATATAAGCTCTGTTTCTACAGATTCTTTTACTCATTTGGGATTGCAAGAGCAGCAGGACTAAAATGCCAAGGGGCTAATGAATACTTTTTTTGTAGTCACATTTTCCCTAAGAAACTATTAATAAAAATAATATTCCAATTAAGTTCACACAATTTGGCTGCATCGAAAGGACCACTAGAATGGAAAAAGATGGAGATTAACAGGCAGAGCTTATTTATGCGGGTGCAAGTTTCCATAGTTGTCTGAGCAGCTGTTGGAGTTGAACAAAGCTGTAAGCGATTTAATCCCATTGCTCTTATGAAGTACATATGTATACATTTATATACATAATCCTGACTATTGGCAAGATTTTATAAAGATTCGTTAATTTAACTTTAAGCAGGATAAATCTTATCCAATTACTTAAAATTTCAAGTTATTTCCAAATAATTTAATACTAAAGAATGAATATATGTAGATCAGAACTCTTAACAATCACTTAGGATGCAGCAGAGAGCTGCCATTTCTCAAGCCATTTTATAATTACTTGAATTATTTTGCTTATAAGCACACTCAATACGTATTTATTGAATTCCTGCTTAACCTTTCCAGCCTAGTTTTTTGCCATTGCCACATTGACATTCCAATTCCCACCCATACCAAATTTCCTTCCATTTTTTTTTCAATTCATGCATTCAATCAACAATAATATCTAATTGTCAATAATCAAAAACAAAATAAAATAAGAACTAAAACTAGACAATCTCTCCTCTCAATGCGCTCACAGACCCTTAAGGGCCTATTGCCAACATATTTTAGATCCCAAATTCCAGATCACTTCCTAATAAAATTCTTTCTACAAACCCAGTCTGGGGTAAATTTTCCTTCTATTTGCTTTAAAATATATGTAATTGTTTTTAAAGTTCAAACTTACAAAAAAATTGCACAATTGGTATAAAGATTTCCATACACACTGACACAGATTGCCCAATTGTTGACATTTCACCACATTTGCCCCATCGCCCTTTCTCCTTCTTTCTCTATGCTTTTATTCTAAGTCTTTTCAGAACCAATTGAGAGCAAGTCAAAAATATCATCTCCATCACATCCAAGTACTACAGAGTATAATTTCTAAACATGGATATTTTCCTATATAACCACAACACAACTCCTCAAGACAGGAAATCCACAGATACAATACTACTGTCCAAGCCACAGACCTCATGCAAATTTTGCCATTTGTCTAAAAAATGTTTTTTTCTTTCTGGGATCAGGACCTCAATGAACACATGTTGCATTTAGTTGCCATATTTCTTCATGTGCTTCTAAGCAGTAATAATTCCTTAGCCTTTCCCTATCATGTCCTTAACAGTTTTAAAGAGGATGAATATTAAAATTTTACAAGAGGATCTGATGTCTCTTCATGATTTCCAAGGTAATGTGTTTTTTGTTGTTGTTGTTGTTTGTTTGTTTGTTTTCAATCAGGAGCACCACAGAAATTGGGCGATGCTCTTCTTGGTGATTACCTTAAGAGAGCACATGCTATTGACTAATCCCACTACTAGTGATATTAACTATAAAAAATATATATTTTAATTGATTTCAGAGAGGGAGAGATAGAAACATCAACGATGAGAGAAAATCACTGACCAGCTGCCTCCTGCATAACCCCACTGGGGATCAAGCCTGCATCGGGAGCATACGCCCTGACCTGGAAACAAACCATGAACTCCTGGCTCATAGGTCAATGGTCAACCACTGACCCACACTACTGACTTTCATCGCCTGATTGTGTTGGTCTCTGCTAGGTTTCTACACCATAAGATTATTATGTTTCCTCTTTGTAATTGATTACTTTTAGTATTAGAGCTATTCCAAGTTGTCAATATCCCACTCATTGTTTATCAACCCACCAACTTAGCATCCACTGACAACTCCTAGGCATTATGATAGTTGCCAAATAGATTCTTTCTAGGCTTATAAATTGGTATTCCAACTATGAGGAAGAGTTTTCCTTTTCTTCTTATTTATTTATTTAGTATAGACTTACTGATTCCTATTATATTCAATACATTATAATCTATTGCTATCATCGCTTATTTTAATATTCATAAATGCTCATCATATTTTGAGCATTTCTTTACTGGCAAAAGATGTTCCAGGTTCATCTCATACTTTTTCTGGCCTAGTTTTGGAATCAATCTTCTCTCCAAAGGGCTCTGATTCCTCCCAGTGAAGAGGGCGAATAGGCATCCAGCCATGGGTTCTTAAAACTGAAAACTACAAACGAACAAACGAGAAAAGCAAACCGCAGTCTGGTGGTTCCCAGAGGGGGGGAGTTTTGGGTTAAAGGGGGTCAAATATATGAGGATGAAAGAAGATCCAACTCTGGGTGGTGAACACACAATGCGATATGCAGATAATGTATTTATTATAGAATTGTACATTTGAAACCTATGTAATTTTATTGATCAACGTCATCCCAATACACTTAATAAAAAGGCACATTTTAGACAAAAAAAAAAAGAATTAGGAGGACAGACTATATATGACTAGTCAACATTTATTATTTTCAATTGTGAGTTTGAAGTTTTTGCTTTTATAAGTCTCTACATGGTTAATTTTATACTCTGAACTTCGATTCTGAATTTCTAATAAATCTCACTGGACATGCCATGTTTTATCACAGTAAACCATTTTCTTACAAATTCTGCTTTTGGTTGTTTATCTTGGACTACCAGAACAATTGAAAAGTCTCTTTTCTAGTCATTATTTAAAAATATATAACACAATCCTATAGAAATCTTGATCAATGTCATGTCTTTGAAAAGTCTGTCTTTTAGAATAAGTGAAATCTTTAACTTTTAAAACACTTTTATCAGTCCTGGAATGACAGACAAGGGCATCAACAGGGCATAATTGCTGCATTCTTTAAACCATTAATATCAAGGAAAAAACTATAAATCTTGTTGATATAATTTTCTTATTTTTAACATGTTAAATGTACTCCATTCAGACTTGTTTAATAAAAATTTTTGGCATACATTCTTCGTTCTATAAAAGATCTTCACTCTGACAGACAAAATAACACTCATGATGGAGGTGTTTAATAATATCCAGCATATTATTAACAACAATGGACACTTGTGAGGTGGTATATTTGTGTCAGGAATTGTGTTAAGCTCTTTATATTTATTATTTCATTCAATGCTTACAACAATAATATGAGGCTATTATTCTTTTCTATTATGAGAAACTGAGCTGTAATACATAAGTAATCTGTTTATTTGTCCATAGTTATACTATTGTTATACAAAGCTGGGGATTCAATAGATCAACATACTCCAAAAGTTCTAGATGATAAGCTTTAAATTCTAGAATTTAAAAAGGATTAAATAATACAAAATTTATTAAAACAGAAATACTTAAATGAAGGAATTTCTTTTTAAGAAGATTTTTTATTCATTTTTAGAGAGAAAAAGGAAGTGGGAGAAAGAGAGAAACATCGATGTGAGAACAAAACATCTAACTGCTGCCTCATCCATGCCCCCCACCGGGGATGGAGCCTGCAACCTGGTAGAATTGGCAACCCTTTGTGCTCAGGATGATGCCCAACCAAATGAACCACACTGGCTAAGGCAGGAATTTCTTGATTCAAACAAGGATTAATTCATTTACCAAGAAAATGAAATCAACGCTAAGCTCCTCTAGGAACTTGAGATTATGGTGTATATTTCCTTGAATATCACCGTATAGTCTACTCACAGAGACTAAATATTCAATGATGAGGGAAAACATTTATTCATTTTTAAAGTTTTTATGATATAATTCGGTTAACAATTTTAATGTACCCACATTTTTTAATGGGCCTCCTCAATTTTATGAAATGAAATAGAATAATATAATCAAGAAAGTTTAGAACTAGAAGGGATTTTAGAAATACCTGAATCCACTCTCATTTGACTGGTAAGAAATATCAAGACCCAGATTAAGTGACTTGCTAGGCATTGCTAGCATTTGGACCTAAGATGGTTAACACAATGAAGGTCCTTTCAACAACATCACTGTCTTTTTTATAAAAAGGCAGTATGAATAGAAAAGATATTGAAGTACAAACATGTTATAGTTAATGTAGCAAGATATTTGTCTCCAAAGCACAACTCATCATTTGATATATATTTACTTATTTTTCTTTTTTCTGTATTGCAGTCACTGTAACTGCATTTCTAATACTTAGCCCTTTGCCACATGTGGCTATTTAAAATAATTAAAATGACTAAAGTTAAAATTTTTGTTCCTCAGTTACTCTGGCCACATATCAAATGCTCACAGGTGCTCAAAGCACTAAAGCTACTGCATATGACAGTGCCAACTCAGAACACAGCCATCCTCCCAGGCAGCGCTGCATTGGAATGCCAGGTCCACAAGAAGGGAGATTTTCATTAGCTTGTTTACTGATGTGGCCCCACATCGGAAATTGTGCCTGACACATAGTAAACCTCAACAGATATTTGTTGTATGATTGAATATTTCTAAAGGAGATTTTGTATAGCCCTATGAAATGTCCAATAAAAAAATACGGCAATGCAATTTTCCCCCCATTGGCTTATATCCTGTAACAAAGCAGCTGTAAAATAATTAGATTTGTTTTGAGAAAAGTAATAAAATAGTAAAAAAAA